TAGTGCTTGTGCACTAGCTAGGACGCACCCGGTAGCCGCTAGCCAGCGTCACCCACTGGCTACCATGTGAAGCTGTCCACTCAGCTTCAGACCTGTCACATGGGTCCCACCTCCTACTCTTAAAACTCAGAGGTCCCCATGGGATAGATTGCGTCCCCGCGTAGCAAGACTCTAGGCTCCCATAACCCACGCGCAAAGGATGGCTTAGGAGGAGTCTATGTGAGAACCTCCCATTTGTTCACCCGGAAATGGGTCAGGGGATGTCAGGGGTGGTACATGGGTGGTCCGGGTCTGGAACGGGTATGGAACGGGGTCTGGAACGAAACGGCCCACTCCAGCACAACTTTGCCACCACGCAGCACATCTTTATCAAAATTGGCAGTTTGGAGCGAGAGTAGCGCGGCAAGCAATTCTTAGACTGCCAGCTGGCAACAGCCAAGCGCATCTCTACCATCGAACATCACAGCTGTGCCACAGCAGGCAGCAACTGTAAGTGTTGCAGGCGCAAACCTGCCACAGGTTGAGAGCGAGGGAGGGTTACAAGCAATCCATTCTTAGACTGCCAGCTGGCAGTAGTGAAGCACATCCCTACCATCACACAACAAAGTAGGTAGCAGCTGTAAGTGCTGCAGGCACAGACTTGCCAACGCAATCATAGGCCCTGGGCATAGTAAATGTATTCTTGCATGTACGCACTCATGTATGTATGTGCGCTCAAGTATGTGCGTACAAATGTAAAATCAGACTGCACACGTTCAAATATATACATATAATATTTTTCCCTCTCTTGTATACCTTGCAGGCAAGCATCTCGAAGCCGATGGCAATAACGAACTCTAAGAGACATGCATTTGATGGCAGAACATATCGCAGGATATCAAACCAGATTCCAATCAGGGACCCAATGGGATCTACAATTCCGGAAGCCAGTGGATTCCTTATTACAATAAAGAGAAGCCAGTGGATTCCTTATGTATATAGCTGTAAAATACTGTATATATATATTATAAATATATAAATTTATAACGTATAGATCAGAGGTATGGAACAGAGGTATGGAACAGAGGTATAGAACGGATCCTTCAAACAGGTATGGAACGGGGGTATGGAACGGGGGTATGGAACGGGGGTATGGAACGGGCGTGGTCCCGGACCTTGTTCCGGACCTTATAATTTGACTTGCACCCAATATAATTATTCAAGGCAACATAACCATACGTAACCATGCACAACCCTCCGCATCCACTGCGACCTGCTATGACAAGATTTGCACCTCTCCTGGCCGAGCTTTCGCCTCCATTGCACTACCACAACTTCATCCCCCTCGTGGTACCTGCTGCTGAATTCTGTGTCAAGAGTGCAGGCAGCAAACACTTGCAAACACACGAATGATGCAAACAACATTCAAGGCCAACAAAATCAACAAAACTTTAGCTGTGGCCGGTTCGAAGTATATTAAATCTCTCTCTATCTATCTGTTCCAATCTGTCAAGATAATTCATTCTTTCCGTCCGGCTTTGGGCTTTGAGGTCGCACTTGGCTTGTCTACGAGAATCTCTGCTGTCTCCAAACCGAGGGCGATATCCACATGCCAGAAAAGGAACCAGGTCCATCCAAAAGACCTCTCTCAAAAACTTTCCACAACCTTGCGTGGTGCACTGATCAAGCAGGACGGAAAGCTGGAGCAGTTCAAAACAAGGCAACTTGGCTCTTGAACGTGAACTTAGTCGCAAAAAGATGGAATGGGATGGGACTGGATAGATTGATTATGCGATGACTGGATGACGATCACATAAGAAATCTTGCATCCAGGATCATCCAGGTGACTCGTTTCAAGCTCTACTGGCAGTTTCCAAGCCAGGTGCTGATTTGCCAAAAGGATCACGCTGACTTTCCCACCAACTCCATCAACGTCTGGTGGGGTCAAGTATCTGGGCTCGGCTGCACTTGAGAATTATATAGAATTATGGTTGCCTTCAGGAACTATATTTGGTCATATTTGGTCACTGTATGCTTTCATATTCCGCAATAGGGCTATTCCAATCTGGATTCTGCTTGATTGTACCAGTAAGGATCTGCCACGTGCTGTTTGCATCTGTTGGTACACTCTGCCCATTTGCCCCCTCGGAATGTGTTTGGTTTCAACATGTTTCAACAACTTTCCGTTCCCTAAAGCATATGGCAGTCAAATCATGTCAAATCCGCAACCAAGAAAGTTCTTCTCAGCAAAGACACTTGCTCACGCTTGTTACGAACTTTGTGATAAGACTTTGAATGGCGATGGCGATCTCCCGGTGGCTTGACCTTTCCTGCTGTCCAACTGGATAGGGCATGGCCTCAGTGGCAGACAACGAATAATTGAAGGTATTGAAGCATGAAAGGCTCTAGAGCTGATCGGAGCATGTAAAATCCTCACAGATCTAGTCAAGAGATCAGTGGGAAGCTGAGACATAGGCCCAAATTGCACCAGCCAAGGTTGCGAGCCGAAGAGAACCAAGAGAAAGCGTAGTTGCATCCACTTGGTCGCGCATTTTGACACCCAACGGAGTGAGGTAGTCCTTCGATTGCTGGAGCTCTGTACTCATGGAGTCAATGCAGGGCCAACGTAGCTCGGTGCTGAACCATTCAAGGCTGAGCTCAGGCAAGTGCAGCCGCGCAGAGACGATCTTGGCTGCGGCCACGGTGAACAAGTGTGTGTACTCACCAACGAAAAGTAATCGTTTTGCACTGTTCTGATCGCTGGTGAGCAACAAATCCGGGGCTTTCAGAGTCTCAGCGTCTGTATTAATCCTTCTTGTTGGAGACCTGCCTCGTTCTCGTTGGGCCGGCGGTGGATCTGAGCGAGTAGCAGGCGTCACCGGCAGCGTGGGACGCTGCCTTACATTGCAAATGGCACTGCGGGTTCTTGGTGCCCGCGGGATGCCACCCAAAGACGAAAGTCCAAGCTTCTTGCACAACGCATTGCAAACGTGTAAGGATCGGAATGTCTGCATCGCGGTGGGCCCCAAGTCGGCTGCACCAAACGACTGATCCAGGGAGAGGATCTGGGTGTCTGTCAAGTGGACACGCCGACAATTTCCTGTTCCTTGCTTCAGAACCCCTTGAAGATCTGAGACCATGAGTTTGCCACCACTCTTGTCCAAGGAGAAGTGGGCAAAAGCTTCAACTGCCATGCTGAAATCAGAGCTCTCCGGTGGTATCAAGATCTCTCCGCGGTTGTTGATCCATTTCAAAAAAGCTTTGTCAGATCCATGGAGGAAGGGTTCAGCAATGAAAAGCTGCCTTTGGTGCCCTTCTATCTCCAGAAGATCGTACACCCATGCATCGTTGCATGACACAAGCCTGGCAGGTTCAAAATCATACCCATACATGGCGAATGCGTCCCAATGGGCGTTGTGGAACATCTGGCTGAACTTGCGTGTCTGCGCTGCATTTTTGACAAAGCCAAGAATGAAGTCCCATGAGTTGTCATCCTCCTGGAACCGCGAGAATTTCGCAACCATTGGTGTTCGGATCTTGTCATCCTGGCATCGGTATACAAGCCTCATCCCTCCTTGCATGAATGGATTTTCGTGCATTCGTATCACACATCGCTTGTTGGTGATTCTTCGCAGTTCCCCCGAATAAGCAAGCTTGTAGGTGCTGCGTATCCCTTGTCTTTTCGCCCTGATCTTGAATGCGGCCAAGCTGGCATCACCAGATTGGCAAAACCGCATAGCGCTGTCAAAGACAACATTGCGAGTCACCCGCTTTTCAACAAAGGTAGAGTTCCTGGTCTGCGTGATGGTTTGGCTCAAAGAAGTGAAGGTGTTCACAAGGTTGTCGATGTCCATGCTAGCGCGACTGAAACTCCCTCTTCCAATCTGTGCCAGCTGTTGTAGGATCAAAAAGTTACAATCGCCAAAGCCAATCGTATGGAGGATCATGTGCGGGTTCTGGACCATAATGTTCTGGAAAGCTGGCAACACATCGTTTTGCAAACAGCCTGTGCAACCATCAGACAGGAAAATCACACGGCAGACCTGCCCTGGCACTGCCAGTTCCTTCAGGGCTTCAATAATCTGGTCGTACTCCACGGCGCCATCAGGATGAAACGTGGCATTGGCTAAGTTTGATATAGCCTCCACGCCCCTCTGTCTGTGGAATCTGACCTCGTACACTGAGATTGCGAATGTCACAAGGCTGTAGTGATCCATTACAGCTCCAGCAGCTATCTGCTGGGTAATGAATCGCCTGAGAACGGCAACGACGGCGTCAATTCGCCGCAAGCCCTCTCTTTGTGCGATGTCCGTTTTGCTCATGCTGTAGGACAAGTCCACGAAGAACATCACGGACAATGACTGATTTATTACTGCAGGCTGGGCGAACCTTTTGAGCTCACACACTTTGTCTCGAGATTCTTCCAAGAAGTCCGAATCGAGTGAAGATTGACCTAGGCCCCACAGACTCTGAGCATCTCCCCATCCGTATATTCAACAGAAAGATACCCACAAACTGATTTACACTTGCTCAGTGATTGCGCTTGTGCGATCAGTGGTAGGGCCCGGGCTGCTAGCTACGGAAAGCGCGTCGAGAAATTCATACCTGTTCTGCTCCTCCGATGGATCATCACCATTTGCACTTACAAAGTCATCATCATCGTCCAGAGCATGCAGAGCGAGGCTGCCCGACATCACTCCACCACAAAAGACGCAGAACAGACTATGATCATCTATGATACCTGGGGATCCTAGGGTCTGAATTTTTGAGCAGTTTCAAAGTGTCCCTTGGTATTAAAAGCATTTAAAAACGTCGGGTGGTCATGTGTTTGAGTTGCCCTCCCTCTCACTCTCTCTCTCTCTCTCTATCTCTCAATTTCTCCATCAGCATCGGACTTGCCCTGCGATAGGTGTGTTGAGCTTCCTGTACAACATTAGCTTTACGTTTGCTCAACCTTGTCGTTGAAGACTGTGGCCAGGCACTGAGAACTCCATCGGCACAGGCCAACTTTTTGCAGCCAAAAAAATTGCGTCTGAATCAAGGTGTGCTTGATTGCATTTGCTCCCAAGCTGGACAAAGCTATGATAATTACTCTTGTCCATATCCGGCACAGTTTCAATCCATGAAGGTATTTTGCGAAGTTCTTTTCATGCCTGTTTTGGCGCGTTTGCACAGACTGAGCTTGGATGTGCCGTTTGGTCCGGCAGCTGGCCCATCCTAATTTCGGCCCAGTGCTTTGCAAACCTTCAGCTGATGCTCTCTTCGTTGACAAGAAATTCACATGTCCTTCCACCAAGGAGAATTGCCACATGGAGAAGCAGTAGCTGTAGCTCATATGTTGGACCTGTTATGACCTGTTGGGATTCTCTTCTTCCACGAGATTCCAATACCTGCCTCGACTACCTGGCTACCTACCTCAATAAAAGCGCAAAAAAAAAGACGCTCCAAAACCTTCTCCCTCAACAAACCACAGCAAGGGTCCCGGTGTTGTTTTGAAGACGAAACCCATCTTGGCAAGAGCTGCAGAAGGCCATTCCATCCAATGGGCAGGCTTCCCGGACAGCAGCAGTCCCTGAAATCCAAAGCTACCAAAAGGATCCAAAAGGCTAAACACGTCGGCACTATAGCCTGCCTGCTTTTGCTTGTGCTACATTGAATTTATATGATCGTAGACGTAGACTTCGCGGAATGCTGCAGATGGCGTACAGGTATGAGGTCTCTCATGCAGGCAAGGTACCGTTTGTGCAGGTGCATTTCTTGGCAATGCAGCTGGCATTTCGGTGATAGTACCCATCCTTGACCACAAATAATAAAAGCTGCGCAGCCAAATGCATCTACATGATCTGGATGGAAGAATCTGTAGCTTCTTCCGCACTACTGAAGCATACTGTAGCTACATGTTTGAAGCCAATTAAATGACAGCTGATGTTCTCATCTTCTGGATACGAAAGGTTGTCACGTAATTTCTGGGACGAAGGGACAAAACAGCGAGAGCAATTCTGTGCGCCGTCGCTGGAGCAGCTTTTCCCGAAAGTTCCCTCGCCTTGGTAGGTGCAGCATGGTGCAGCTAGATTTCACGAGTTCAAGCGTGCCAGAGTCTGGCACACAATCAAACCTGTACCTGCACCAACATTCCAAACACAACTACTTGCCATTTCAAGAAACCTCTCGATATATCTCAATACAACCCGCAGGTTTGCTTGAACAAAAGCCTTGAGAGCCATTCAAGCCTGAGTCAAAGCATCCAAGGTTAATGCCCACTGCATCCAAGGGCACCATTTTGACAATTGCACTGATTCTCGTTGCAGGTCCCATTGAATAAGTGATACCCGTTCCTGATGAACTTTGCCAAGGTTTCGCAACACGTCAGGTCAACTCTCTGGCAATTGTCAGTTCCACACAGAAAAACATAGCAGCTGACAAGCATACAATCATGCAAATAAGTGCATGGCCAACAGGATTCACAATACCTTAACTCACCCAGGTTTCTCAAATATTTGGGAAATCTCTCGACAAACATTTTCCTGTTGAATGGGATGCACTGCACCTTATTGTGCCATATGCCCAAATGTCTTTGAGGTTGCGACCAGCTGTGGTTTCCGCAACGAATGCCTTCTGCTGCATGGCCATGATCGCACTGACATTTCTTGACACGGCATTGGCCATTCTGCAATTCAAAACCTCGGACATAAGAGTCTTGGATGGATCATGAGGGGTCAAAAAAAATTGCAAAAGATGTCCGAAGAGTCAGCTTTTTAAACCAGTAGAACCTACTCCAAGAGCAGCTGAGACCGTTGCCGGGATCGCAGCTTGAGCACTGCTCCAGCGAAGGTGCCGGGCAATCTGGCCCAGTAGCTGCAGTGCCATTGCCACAAGTACCTTGAGGTTCAAACAGCACTGCAGCGAGACAAAAAGCTGCGCTGAATGGAGGCATCAGAAAATTCTGGAAGCGTGGAAACCAAAATTCAATGTTCCATCCGAGTGGCAATTCTTCATCTCGCACTTCTGATTTCTCAGGTGATATCCCTCAAAACATCTAGAACAATTTGGCATGCCATCTTTGGAGCAGTTTGGACCAAGTGTTCCAATGCCTTGGCTGGGCGCCAAATATGGATTGCAATCAACAGCCCTTCAGCATGGAACGTCCACATTTGAATCACTCACAAAGGCGAGGCTCCATTGTCACAGCTGCATTGTTTGTAGTTGCCTCGCACAGTGTGTGATCCTGTTCACACTTTGTATTTGCCACAGTCACCACGATCCACAAGATGCTGCATTATTCATACATGAATTTGAATCCATGCATTCTCGTATCGTAGATATCGTGGTCATTATTCATAGTACTCCCAGAACCTGATTCTATGGACATCCAAGTCACAAGTTCCATAAGCTAATTCAAAGCCAGAACTGCAGGATTCGCATCGTTCGGCTCCAGGATAAGGACAACCTTGCTACATGATGAGAGGCCTATTGGTCGTCCAAGTGACTATCTTACTTCACTGGTTGCACCATGTTTTGCGGTGGGAAGATGTGGTTCTCAAAGTCACTAGCTACCACATTCCCCGCTCATATCAAACCTCTACCATATGCATACAGAATCTGATGTGGTCGCTTCCATTCACAGTGCATTTAAAACTCTTGGCAAGTGTCAGGAGCAAATGCAGCTTGGGCTCTTTGACCTTTGGCACCTTTTCCATGGGCGCATAAACACTTGTTTTCCAAGCAGAGGCCACCCCGCAGGTGGAAACCCATGGAGCAGTTCACACAAAAATCGCCTGGGCATCTGCGGCTGTGGCTCGCTGGCAACTGATGGATGGCATGCTGGGTAAAATGATCTGAAACGACCCATTGAGGCAGTGCATGGCAGTGCCATCTTTCCGACTTGACGAGAAGTGTCATTTTTCATATCATGTTTCAGACATCACAGTGATCAACCCAATTCAACCGCTGCCAAAAAAAACCCAAAAAAAGATTTTGCCCAGAAACTTCCAGTCTCAGGACAATGGGACCCTCGGCCGGCAATGCCGTTGTCACAGGAGCAAATCTTTTCCAGGCACGTGTCGTTGATCAGGTGATGACCTTCAAAACCTGAGAAAACCCAGGATCCATCCAAGGAAACCTGGGCTTCGCAGTACCTCCTGCGAAAAGCTCCAGGACAAAAAACGACTAATTACTAACTGTAGAGGAGAGATGATGAGAGATACAAAATATGATGTTATCCAGAAATTGTCATTGCAATCTGGACCCCATGACTATGTGACAAGCCTTGCAAACTGAAGGCCGGAAGATTGTATGCAAACAGGCAAATGGATTCAATGCAGACACCGCCGTAGAGGCTTTGGAGAAGGAATTTCCGTACTGAACTGAATGCAGTGCCATGAGGCAAATGGAGCAATTCTCATGCCCACGATGAGGACCTCACTGCTACTGCTAAATCACCAGCGTCTCTGATCCCCAACCAACAGTAGCAATTCTCATTTGCATTGGCTTCTTGGGAAAAGAAATTCCTACTGGTTCCATGCTGCCCTGAAGCGTTGTTTGAGCCAGGTCGCATCTTGTACCCACTTGTGGGAGGCCATTGGCGCAGCTGCATTGTCTTTCCTTATTGTCTTCAACGACATGGGGCCAATTGTGTATGTGTTAAATGGGTACTTCCCCCGCTTGCCCTCCAAAACATAGCATTGGTACTAAAAAGATCTAAAAAGGACAAACTGTTGGTCTAGAATATTGAACCACACGCACACCATATCACAAATTCGACGTCCACCTATGACAAGTTGCGAAGCACAACCCGTCAGACAGGACGAATCCGGCATCGCAAGAAGCGCACGACCTCACAAGTCTTCTGTTTTTTTTGTGTCAGCAGCAGAACCTAAATGCTAGCAGCACACTAGCTACAAGGAAGCACCAAGCAAGGATTTCCGATGCCGTGTCCCACCTTTCCTTCCAAGTCACACTGTGCCGTCATGACTGCAGCCTCGCAAGCAGATTGGTGCCATTCACAACAGTTTGAAACTTTGAGTGAGCAGCCAATCAAACAGGCCATGATGTTCCGATGTTCCGATTTCCCAGGCCTGTTCCATTGGATGCATTGCCATTTGGGCAAATGCATTGATTGGGAAGGCAACTATCACCCTGTAGATAGTAACCCGGGTCACAAGAGTCGCACCCAGGTCCATGGAGAGCAGGGCAACTGCTGCCCCTTGAGGCCACACCATGTTGACCTCGAGCAGTGTGATGGAAAATGTTCATGTCTATTTTATAATGTGCTATATCTTTTGTGCATTTATGTGCGAATCTCTCTCTCTCTCTCTCTAGGATATCTATCTCTATATATATATAATGGATATAGATATAGATATTGGTATAGATCACAATATATGCACACATCACCATAGACCATATCTATCTATCTATCTACCTATCTACCTATCTACCTATCTACCTATCTACCTATCTACCTATCTACCTATCTACCTATCTATCTATCTATCTACCTATCTACCTATCTACCTATCTACCTATCTACCTATCTACCTATCTACCTATCTACCTATCTACCTACCTATCTATCTACCTATCTACCTATCTATCTATCTACCTATCTATCTACCTATCTACCTATCTACCTATCTACCTATCTACCTATCTACCTATCTACCTATCTATTTATCTATCTATCTATCTATCTATCTATCTCTCTATCTCTCTATCTCTCTATCTCTCTATCTCTCTATCTCTCTATCTATCTCTATCTATTCGCGCTATATTTATATATAATTTATATGTATATATATATATATATACAATATGGCATGATGAATGTTCATCGTGCAGAGTCAGGACAGTGAACTCCTTCAACATTCTCTCAAAACAAATGGTTCCAAATCACAAGTTCAGGCTCTGGCAGTGGCAAACTTTCTCCACACAAACATCGTCGTGTCGCATATGAAAGCCTTCAAAACCTCCAGTAGCCGCAAAGCAAAAAAAAACAAATGTCAGACGAAATACGGTAATGTTCAAGGACATTCAAACGTGCTCAAGTTACTTCAAAATACGTCAAGGTCCTTTAAGGTACTTCAAAAAGAAAAGGAAATGCCAAGCGTTCTTGAGTCAAGCGATTGGTTATTACTTATACGGTACTGTATATTCTTGCCGCTTTGCACGGAGAAAACAAAGTTCGTGATCTCGTGATGTTCAAGGAGGCCAGGAAGCAAACAGTGCAGTTTTCTTGTCCTCCTTTGGCACAGTTGCTTCCAACTTGTGCTTCACCATGAGCGCACGTGCATTGCCTGAGTCAACACTAGTCAACACTGCAGGCACCACAGCTGCATTGAAAACGCAAAACTGTTCAAGTATGTTTTCACATGGTTTGACAGGAGTCAGAATTCAACAGGAAGGTCATTCACGTCTTTCACTGGCGAGCTGCCGCTCTATACAGGTCTGGTTTTGCATGTCATAGCCAGAGAAACAACTCTCGCAAATGGTGCTGCCATCCATTAAGCACTTCTGTCCTTAGATCCACTGTGATCTGGTACAGCATGCTACGGCAAATGTCTACCCAACCCCCATGCCAAAATCCAGGCCTTCAGAAACTTCAGAACGTGACAGCAACTTTGTCACGGAGGATGAGACTCCAACAATCTGTGCGTAAGAAATCTAAGTAGCACAAGCGAGCAATCTTCAGCTGGGCGTCCAGTAGCTTCGGTACCGTGAGGGCAAAAACAAAGATTCTGAAAGCAGGTGCCGTTGACCATGTGGAGGCCCTTCCCACACACGTCTTGAACACACTCGCTGCCGTCCAAGTGGAAGCCTGTGTCACAGGAAGATATATGTTAAAAAATTGCATGTGTTTCACATGAATCTTCACTGAGCTGGATCCAAAAACGCAGAAATTGAAAATGATGCAGTCACGTTTCAGTGCGTCCAGAATGGAAGTCTGAACTGAACGCCTTCAAAACAAATCTCGCACTTCATACCACCCTGCTGAGGGCACGTTGTTCCGGCAGCTCCTAGAGCGAGCAATAAAGGTGGCATCCAGCACAAACAACTGCGTAGTCAACACAGAACCTGGGACGATGCTGACAAGTGTCCCACGCCATTCGTGCATAAACACTGGTTGTCCACACAGGAACCTCAGCGACCCGTAATGTAAATTCCCCACCCTCTCACAACATGTCACAATTTCCAAGCTGTTGCAGCACTGAATGTGCCGGTCAGAATTGAATTGTCACCTCATAAATAGCCAAGAGAGGCACTGCCCACCAAATGGCTGCCATTCGCACCTTGCTATTGGATCACTCAAAGCAGGAATCTCAAGGAAGCTCAATTTGCACTCGCAATGCCCTACAGCAAGTAGACTTGTTGGCCAAGGCACATGAATGATTTGTTGAAGGTGCTGGTGTGCTATTCGTTGAACTGTCCACTACAGTAATGTTCACGGGCATCCTTGATGGCAGCCACCGAATTGAGATGAGAAACGGATGTGGAGAGTTCTTTGTGGAACACAAGGGGTCTCCAGCCATGGCTTGCAGCAACCCCATGACCCACTGATGCCAGGGAGCCTTTTTGTTGTTTCATCAGTTGCTGAATGCGTCTGGGATTCCTTAGCGTGGCCAATGCCGCCCGCAAAATCGCAAAAGATATGTAGCATTTGCTTTTGTTTGCTAATGCATCTTTTATTGCATTGCATTACCGTCCACACTCCAAAAGAATTCCTCCTCACCCTTTTCACAAACATTCACAAACACGCTTGCATGTCAAGACTCAAGTTCAGACTTAACCTGCAGCAGTCCCCGGCTGACAGAGCAGCCTCAAGTTGGCTGGGAACATTCTTCAGAGATATCAAGGGTCTCAAACTGTCGGAGACTATCAGAGCGGCTGGAATGGTTGGAACATGTTGGAACCCATGCAGCACTTGGAGGTGAATCCAAGATCCAAACTCCAGTCCTCGCAGGCGGCTCTGGCTCTCAAGGCATACAGCAGCACATAGATCGCACTCGCCTCACCCAAGCTATGGCAGTTTCGACTGCTTATTGAGTCCTTCGGGTCCAATGTCAGAAGGATCAGCTAAGGAAACCACCAGCACCATGGCAGTTTGCCTCGGCTGTCGGATTCTTTCGGGTAGGTTCATGGATGGTGACACTTGCATACACTGGCAATTTACCCACATCCAGCTCCCAACAAAGCAACCAAAAAGCTAGGACCAAGGGTCTGGCTACAAGAGCTCTGCGGTAAAATGCATCATCTAAGCGAAGTAAGATGGTATAAGTAGCCAAGTCGGCTTGAGCCTGCTACTACGAGTACATTGCAAGAACTGTGAGATGGACCCCCATCAAGTCAAACTACCATCATGAAACTTTCAAACATTGTTTGCAAACCTTGCATAGTCTCGAAAAGCCTCATACACTTTCACACTTCCCACATCTTCGCAGTTTGGTTTGGTGCTGCCGGCCACTAGAGTGTAGGCTCTTGCAACCAGCTCAAAGTTTTCGCCCAAATGAGCAGCATTTTCTCGTCCACTTATTTTGTCACCCTGGCTCTCCTATGCACGCTTTGGACACAGTGCAAAGCCATACAGTGCCTTGCGCCTTCGATTGTGCTCAGCACAACGCTTCCCGTACTTTCGAGCGTTCCTTGAAGGCTCCATTTTTTGAGCTTCCTCTAATACACAAGGATCCTCCCAAAGTACTCTGGCTGCCGATTGCCGACATCTCTTATTCCTTTTCAATGCTGCACTCATCCTGGGCACTCCATTTTCTGAAGCCGAGCCCATGCCTTCGCCTTCTCAAACAAAGTGTGGTCTGAAAACTGCCATCCGCATGCTCCATCATTGGCTAGAACAAAAACGGAAACTGCGAGCACGTGAAGAAATCGATTGCCGTGCCCTTGAAGTTCCTCAGAACAGTACTTGAGTACTTAGTTGTCCACATCAAAACCCTACAGCCCACGTACCTGGGAGATTCTGGACTTGGATGCTGCATCACTAGCGGTTTTCTGCTCGACTCTTCGGGAGCTCCTGATTCATTGTCTTACCCGTCTTACCCCCTTGGCTCGACTATCTCGACTTGGAAGAATTGTGGCTCACCGATGCTCACGGCAAAGCTTCGTTGGAGTATGTTGGAGTCGAGTCAGCATGGCTGTGACCCTTGACCCCGTGGCTCTCAGCCCAAAACTGCAGCAGCAGTTGTTGGATGATCACGCCTATTTCACCTATTTCCCCCAATACTCAATGTAGCAATGTAGCCCAGCGGAAGCTCATTCAAAGGTTATTTCTGTAAATCATCAAAGCTTGCCGCACCTTGGCCTGAGCAGATAAAGAACTTGTCAACCTCCCGCGGCTTCGCGCCAGTGATTTGCCCATCTGTTGTAGCAAAATGATGGCCCAAAATGAAAGCTACCTTTGATGTGTGGATCTAAGGTTGGTCCATCAACATGATCAACATGTTGAAAGCCCCCCCGGGTTTCCATACCACTGAACCCATTTTGTGGAGCGAGTTTGTACCAAAGTTCAAGCATTGGCGAAGCCTGGGCCTTCATGTGCCCAGTGCGATATGCGAAGAAAACGGGACAACCACGAATCAACACACATTGCGGATGCTTGAAGAAGTGCGGCAAATATTCCAAGTGTTCGGACCACTGCTCATCTCTTAAGGGAGTGAGGCAGAGACAGTCCGCAGCACAAACATACAAGTACGTTAGTACAAATCAAAATCCAAGGTTGGGCTGATTCTCCAAATATTGTGGAAGCTGCTTTCGCTGACTTTGCCAATTCCAATATTTGGCCCAAGGAATCCATCATCTTCGTTCAAATTTTCACTTTCAATACTTTGATCTTCCAGCATTGCATGCCATTCTTCATCAATAGCTCTCCCACTTCCACCTCTTTCCCATGATGGCTCTCTTCAACAGGATTTTGGACATAGAGGACCGATCAGCACGGCCGAGAAAATCTCAAAGATGCAGGCCCGTGAAAAGCAATCCTCCGCCTCGCCAGGGCGAGTTCGTGCATCTTTCGGGCTCTTGAACTGGACGTTCTCTGTGAATTCACGTCGAAAATTGGAATGGAAAATTGCCCAAACATCGAAGCAAACTAGGACTCTAGAGTACACCCCCCCAAACTCTGAACATTATAAACATTGCATTCATTGCATTTCAGGGACACGGCTTTGATTTTAAAAACTCAAGGTTTTTACTGATCGGAAACATTTGAATCGAGTCACCAGGCTGGCGTTGGTCGATATTGGTCGATATTGAAATGTCATTCCGCAGCCACCATGTTGGAAGCTCCTCCAAAAAGAAGTGTTTGGAAACTGTTTGGAAACTGTTGAACACATTTTTTACACCAAATCAAACCAGCAAACCAAAATTGGAGTCCACAGAATGTGCATCTTATCCTTTGGAGGCCGAGGGAAATCGAAATCATTGGAAATCTGACCGAGAACGGTGGACCACCATGAGGGATCAACAATCAACACTCTGCAAATGGGCCTATATATATATATATATAGATTATATAGACTACATTAAAAAATAAAAATGTTGAATAAAGGCCAAGGCCACCAGTACCAGTGACTGTGATTAAATGATGAGTAATTATATAATTATACGTATAGTGGTGACTGCAGTGATGATTGCAGTGTTTATTGCACCAGAACGCAGGGTGCCCCCCGGCATAAACTATTTGGACAACACCGAAAAAAACAACGAACAGTCCGAACAGTCACAAACAGTGGAGAAATCAAAAACACTTGAACCGGTTTTTTCTGCCAACGTCATCCAAAAGATCAATCATGGCAAAAATCTGAAAAAATGATTCTGATTCAACATGATTCAACATGATTGAACTATGCATGGCTATCTTTGCGTATGATCCACGCGCTCATGTTTTCTTGCCCACCTGAGTCACATGAGCCGCCACCAGGTCCAAAGGGAGCGGGGCATGGGCTTGCGATGTGACCCGACCTTGGGTGAGGCACGCCAGGCACAGTGCCTGGAAAATCTCATCATGACACTGTGCCAATTGAACATTGCACTGCATTGCACCGTATTGCGGTAGAAGTACGTGGGCGCTCTGTCCTTTTCACAAGCTATGAAGCTAGTTGATGCTTGCTTGAAAGCTTCAACCCCCTTTCAGCTATCCCTGCTTAGCAGGGTCTTGGGTGAACCGTTCATCATATTTTACCGGTGAAATGTGTGCACTGACAGCTGGCTGCCTGGCAAGGATGTAGGCAAACTCAGCAGATTCAAGCATATTCCTCATCATTTTTCATAACATATTAGCACCAAAAATTGCCATTCCAGTGTGGATAATGAAGACTAACCTTGATTAACCAGTGGATATAAAGGTACCCATGAGTACCCTGTCTCAGACAAACCCATATGGATAGATGCTGGCTACGCTTCTTCAGGGTGTCCAAAGGCCAAACAATCCTCGATCCAATCCTCTCCTCTTGCATTTCCACTTTGGAAATGCATGAAAGATCATGAAAGATCATGAAAGATCATGAAAGATCATGAAAGATCATGAAAGTACATCTGAGATTTGCTGCCCTTATTCCACATAGCCACTATCCACAATCCAAGAACTTGGAAACACCACTGATTCAGCCTGCATGGATGATCGATGCAATCTTGTGGACATTGGCTAAGAGTTCTGGGCTAGGATCCATTCTAGATTCTAGCCATTTCTAGGCTGCATTCATGCACTAGCGCTGGGAACAACAGGGAAGGTCTTCTCAGTTGATGCCCCAGAGCGATGAACTTTGCAACATCTTCATGGTCTTGAAATCCTGAGCACAAAAGGCGAACCCCGAGAGATCCCAGAGCAAAGCTTCAGCTTAGAAATGCTGAGAATGCGGAACCAAATTAATACAGACTGCAAGACTGGGCCATTACATAAGAGCTTCATCTCACTGAACCTGAGGCATCGGCCATACGGCTGCGTGCACTGGGCCGTCCAAAGGAGTAGACGCTCTGTGTCTTCATGTCTGGGTTTGGCCTGGCATCTACTGCTTCAGCGCAATCTTTGACCATGCAAAGAGCAAATGCATGGCATGAACGTGGTTTTCCACTTGCAGTTCAAAACTGGATGATTAAGTAATCAATACTTTTATCGTCTACACAGAAAATAATTCTGTACAATTCTGTATATTTTAACGATATTGCAGTGGCACAGAGGGGATATTCTTTGCATCTTCTCAATACCTTCCATATGATCTTCCCACATCTCGAAACTGCGAGTTTCCCCCCCAAAATGGCCATGTTCACAAGTAAAATGATGATAAGCCAATGATAAACCCGTGGATTCCAGGGGGCCCATAGGGCCCCGACTTTCAGTCGAAACATGTCGAAACCAGGTCGTTGCAGCCAGCTGAGGCTCCCAGCTTTTCATGGACGTCGTATGCGCCAGGACCGGGCGCACGCTCGTTGCGATCATCTGGGAGGCCTCGGGCTGAACATATGGCATGTCGAATGGGGAAAATGACGGTTGCATCATGATTATATGAATGATGATTATGCTTATGATTAATGATTTATGCGGATTGTATAACGATACAATATATATATATATATTATACATATATTATGTATATTATATTATATATATATATATTGTATATTAAATATATATATATATATTATTATATATATATATTATTATATATATATATATATTATTACATATATATTATTATATATATATGTGTATGTGTGTGGTACATGTCTTATATATAGTGATTATATTATATATATATATGCAACCATGATTCACTGCTGGATTTGGGAGTAATTAGCCTGTTTGTGGGCAAATCCATGTGGATGGACCAAAAAGAATAAATCATAAAGGCGAAATGAAAATTGCACAGGAGAACCAAATGTTCAGGTTAACGGTTATAAGTTATACTTACAGGCTTACAGTATCACAACGTATTATCAAATTCTACAAGTTCACATCGTTTGGAGCAGTTCTAAGTTCAACACATCCGAACAGCAACACTCCAATAGTTGTGCCTCCTGCTGAGCTTCCCCACGGGTGGCCCGGCAAAAGGAAATTGATCGGCCAGCCAACCTAGATGAAGCATTGAAAAGCAAGAAGAAAACGCGGGACACGGACAAAGGACTGCCCATGACCAAACAAGGGAGGTAATGCAGGATGGAAATCCCAACATGCAGCCATTTCTCATCATGCTAAATCTTACTTGTCAAATGCAAAATTGGAACCATATCTAAAATATCTAAAACATATCTGAGTATGGGTCATAAGTGGGAACCCCAAAAACTGGATGGTTCTTGCCAAAGGTGCCCCAAGCATCCCCAAGCCTTCTCCCATCAACTCCGACTCCAAGTGGCTCGTACGGCAGTGGAGGACCAGGTCCGGGTGATGACCGACCTTGGCCCTCCTTCTCGGAGCCAGGGAACCTGGGAAGTTTCCGGAAGATTGCCAACTGGGAATTCACAGATTTCACAGGAGTTAGCAATAGTTAATATATAGTTAATATATGTTAATATATAGTTAATATATAGTTAATATATAGTTAATATATGTTAATATAATGTTAATATTAGACATGTTAAAACAACTTAAGCGTATATGTTAGAGAATCAAAGATGCAAGTAACACAGATACCAGAATACTTAGACTTCTGACTTCTTTGGGCATCATTGTATTTAGAACATATATAATTATAATATATTCCAACATGGCTGGCAAATCTGGTGGCAAATCTGTAATCTTCAAGCCTTGGCCCTGCCTGACTCTGTCGTAGGCCCGATGAGATGCTCCAAAGGAGCGCCCATGCCGAGATCCGTCAATTGAGCCCTTCACCTGCACCAAGATTCACCAAAATATTTCGAAATATGATTCATAATGCATATATTATGACAGAATATGATCTAATTATATTTAATTCTATGGTTCTATTATATGCGATTAAATAATGTGAAATAGGAGTCACATGAAGTCACCAGCATTCACAAGTCCTCTTAAGATCCGCCAAGAATATCCAAGAATGAGATGACAGAGCTGGGAAATCTTTATCTACACCCATCTGAATCCCATCTGAATCCCATCTGAATCGGCCTCATATTGACCAGGGCCAGTAGAGCCCAAAGACTCGCTCAAGCTACGATCGTCCAGAGCAAAGCGGTTCGCCTGCCAAAACACAAGGGTAGTCCATATACCCAAAGGATCCCAAAGGGTTTTGTTTTACGAAAATCGTTGACACATTTTGAAACCACCAAACAGCAAATATCAACATCCAAATATAGTACTCATATAAATGCTGCCAAACACATGCAACATGTGTACATCCAGGTGCTCACAGTCTTACCATGTCTTACCCAGCGCCTTTGAGAATCTAATGTGCTGCGGAGGGTTGTCAGGCGACCCTCGCACTTCATAGACCTTTCATGTTTTCAGTGGAGGCACTGCTGTCGCGCAGCTGCACTGGAGGATCGGAGGATATGAGCAACGAGGCCCTGGCTGGTCCAGGCGCACGAAAATGCGTGTCGCAGAGATCTGGCCTGGGAAGGGCTTTAGAAAAAGTGCCATGTCCAAACTTTCTAAGGCAGGAAGGCTCACCACAGGAATTCTTGATCTGTCATGCCATACCATGCCATACCATGCCATACCATACCATGCCATGCCTCTTTCCGGTGCCGAATCGCACGCGCGCTTCTGAGTTGACCTCATGGTGAATCACGGAAAAGGACAAGTCGAGTCGACGGACATCCACAGCCAATCACAGCCAAGCCCTGGGCCAATCGAGGAATGTAGGTGCCTGGCAATCAAAGTGTCAGGCTCTAACTTCCATTAGATCATTAGCTTCCCACATCTTCCCACAACACAATCTGTTGCGGCTGTGCCTGGTGCTGGGGAGTCCCGAGCCATCATTGCCATCAGATGGTCCTGGATCAAAGATGATTGACCCGTCTATCTGAGATCTATAGCTGAGAAGCATTTGGAGCCCTCCCCCCACCCTGCGCCTTGCTGATCATTGTCTTGGACCATGCCTTGAAGAGGAAAAGGGAACGTACAAGTTATAAATGAGGGTCTTCACAATCAGCAGAAACTTCATCATACTTCAACAAAGTAAAGCATGGAGATACTGCGAGATACTCTTCAAACTCGGCCCCTATTTCCAACATTTTCCAATCTTTCTGTTAAACTGATGCTGAAGGACTCATCAATTGGGATCACTGGTGCATCAGGTGTGATCCAGCAGTTCAATATCCCATTGCAGCGCGTTGCAGTTTCAATCAAATTTTGACTGCGATAAGGCTGAAAGCTGTCAGGCCTTACCATGCTTAGCGATGAGAGGTGCAGAAGGTTCTGAGAAGTTCTGGGAGAGCTGTTGTCTGCCTCACAGACCATTGGACCATTGGCTGCTTTGCAGAGTTTTACTGTCGGTTTCACTGCAACAGCGCTCCGATTTCATGATTTTGTATGGCAGAGGTCCAGGCCAAAGCTTTGACCAATGTCGTACGTACCAGGGCCAGGCTCCAAATCCTGCATGAAGAACAGGCGACTCTCTTTTTCTTAAGTTGAAGAGTGGGTGTCCCAATGGCTGGAAGGCTCTGGCGAAACTGTCCTCTGGGTCTGAGTAGAGCGAACCTCCGCTGGCTGGGCGATGCCAAACGAAGCCGTGCGTGAGCTTAGTTGTGAGAAAGGCCGTATACAGTAAGTTTAGCAAAGAAGGACGATCTTTGCTATTGTATCTATTGTCACTATAACAATCTCGGTCACTTTACCGAACCCTTCCCTCCATACATCTGCATACTGCAGGTCAGCAACTGTAGGAAGGCGTCGCATACAGCGCTACCGACCTGCTCAAGCTATGCTTACCCCTAATGACTCTGCTAAACCACGTTGTCTGGATTTGTTCAGCTTCAAATTAGTTCGACGAAGAGTATGAACACGCAAGTGTATGGAAACCCAGCAAGCAAAATGTATATGCTGAATGATTGCATAGCAGCATAGCGGTCTTGGCAATGCATCCAAGGGTCGGGATGGTTGGCAAGGAGCCGGTAGTTGACCGCATGTTCATGCTGTCCTCTCTACCTGAGCTGCCCCACAAGCTAATCACATGACCATCAGGCAATGACACCACTGCCATAATATTGTTTTCGCAATACCGTATGAGTACCGTTGACCCTTGCACATTACCACAGTTTTTTTCCTTCGAGAATCTTCGAGATCATAACTTCAGCATCCATTTTCACACGAATTTCCATGACATACTTACACGCCAGAATAGCGGCGTTGATGCTGATCGGAGGCGTGCTCAGTACATCTCAATACTCTATGTCCTATGTACTCTGATGGCCCCAGGGTTGTGGAATCAGAATAGTCTTTGACCCGAGCTTATCTTGCCGAAATGCGTTGATGCTGGCTCGTGATTACCATGAAAATACCGTGAAAAGAGAGCAATAGAGATGTGGAGAGCATGGCTACCGTCTACAAATCGCATACAGGCCATTGCTGCTACGCTTTCCAAATCTGTCCAGCCATGCGGCCCAAAGAAGGTGCGCTGTAGCTCGAGTTGAGGCTCTTCGGCTGAGGTTTGTGCACCGGCATGGCGCCTGTGAGCAAAGATCTGCAGAGGTCTACGCCAGGGATCTGTGGGGACCATTTCTATTGACCATTTGTTTCAGTTCATTCTCCGAAAGTAAGAGCTTTAAATGTTTTTTAAAAAAATATGACAAATATACAAAAATCATCAAAAATCAGAGTCCGCAGCCAATGCACCGGCCTTTGCAGCTGGAAAAACCAAGATCAGTCTCATTCCACTCATTTCACTTTCGACCCCGCGTCAGCAAAATCCGCTCCAAACTCCAAACACAAGAACCCCATGTCCAACCTGCGATGGCACTCCCAGTGCACCCCCAGTGAATCCCTACACCATTTGGGCCACAGAAGGGCTGCCAGGCATAAGATATTTCACTGCTCGTTTTGATATCTTTGATATGGTGCTTTCTTTAACGTTCTTTACATAACAAATCAATCATGCAATGCCACCATTTTAGGGTCATTTTAGGAACATGCCATACCGCTTTTGGTGATGGTCACAGGAAAATGGGCATTGAATCATTGTTCAAATGCCTCGTTCCTTCAACTGCGCTTTACAAATTGGATCAACCAATCAGGAATACTGTGTGTAGACTGTATCGATGTCTTTGTGGCCTTCCCTTGCAGGAGAAGCCAGTCTGATAAGCCTTAAAAACTGGCCAGGTCGGCCGTCGAAAAAATTACCCGAACTGCTCGTATTGCCTCAATCGGCGTCTGAACCTTCGGGTTCTGGTGACCGTCAGGAAGCCGCCGCCGCCGCCACTCTCCCAAAAATTGGGAGATAGGATGGATACCCCAAGCAGCAAGGCCAACAGTAAGGTGCCCAAATCAGCCAAGACTACGATCCAAAGTTTGAGGTCCACCACCATTGCCTCAGTGATTTGAATTTCGAGCATTTTTGACTCCTGTGAAGGACCCTGCAAATGCCCTTACAGATTCTTGCTGGCACTTATTTGATTTGACCTTGGGGCATGCTTGCCAGGAAGGCTCAAGCTCTATCCACATGCCAGTGCTACAAGTATTTGTTTAGATGCATTTCCATGCATTTCCGCATTTACAATTTGTTCATGCTAGTTACTGCTAGTTGCTCGACTAAAAAAGTGGGGTACGTCATGCCCATCAACAGCTGAGTGGCAACGCAAGCCTGCAAAAGTTTCAAAACGCAGGGAATCGCGATGTTCAGTCTTTCAACTCGCCGAGCATAGCGGCAAAGCCGGACACACTGCGGTAGTCGATAAAGTTTCTCAGTCATCATCACGATGTCAGCTGACCTGTGCTTCTTGGGGAAGAAGCTTTTCGGCAAACAATTGCAAGAGCTCCCTGGTTTGTATATCACTCGCATGTGTCAGCTATAATCATATCTATATATGTACAATTTTTACATACTATATGTATATATATATATATGTGTGTGTCTCTCTCTCTCTCTCATCGATCTATATTATCTCTCTATCTCTCTATCTCTCTCTCATCGATCTATATTATCTCTCTATCTCTCTCTCTCTCTCTGGAAAGCATAGCTGCTTAGGCTGCTGTCCCACAAGGTCACTCCCGCTAGATACCGCCCTATGGCCTTGCACATGGAAACTGCAAGGAGCAAAACAACCTGTGTCATCCATCTGTGTATCTATCTGTATACTGTATCTATTCACCTATGGATATCTATGGATCTATCTGATTTAACCTAATCATAATCTAATGAATCTAATCCAATCCGACCCAATCCAGTCTATCCTAGTCTATCAATATCACCATGATCATCTACATAAAGTAATGACTCGACTATGTAATGATTATGTCTTTCATACCCGCTGGGATCACTGGGTCTCACCAGGGTGATCCTAGGCGCATCTGGGCGCCCAGACTGAGCTGCCAGCGCTGCTCCTGTTTCACCAATGGCTACTCCAACATGGGCGACAGCAAGGGCAGTTGCGTCGTTGATGCCATCACCAACCATTAAAACGTGCCGCCCCTCGGCTTCCTGAAGATCTGGCTAGTGAAAATCTATGAAAATCTCACAGGGATTCTTGATGATTTTTCACTTGGCAGATGGATTCAGAATGCTTTCGCAGCATATGTGATCCTACAGCTTCTCCAAAAGGGTCAACAGATCAGAGAAGCCGGTTTTGGAGACAAAGATGGACTCAGATTCAGATTCACATGGCCCCCTCACCATAAGTTCACGGGTCATCCAAATATCTCAAAATATTGTATACATGCGTGTATGTATATATATATATATACATTTATTTATCTATAATTACAATTATAATCTAATAATTATTTAATTATGTAATATATATATATATATATTATATATATAATATTATAGTAATATTATATATATATATATATATGTGTGTGTTTTTATATGTTTATATATATATATATATACATGTCCAACACGATATTTCAAGAAGCATTTTCCGCCAAGTTGCCCGGGTGCTTACCCATTCTCGCTTCTGGTCTGGAGTCATGGCAAAATGACACAGCTCTTCCTGAATGCCCAAGGTCTGTGCCACGAAGGTCCCAGCCTCCACGGTGTCCCCCGTCAGCATGGCGGCCTTGTAGCCCATGGAGTTGAACTCCTCCAACAGCTTCGCAGCTTCGTCCCGGATCGTGTCATTCAGGGCCAGGCCGAAGTGTAGGCGGCCATCCACCAACAGTGCCACCGTGGTGTGCTGAGGATGTTTCTCTTGGAAGGCGATGAAACGAGAGTGAGCTGCCGGCCGGGCATGTGCCACGGTCAAAGCCTTCTTGTTTCCAATTATCACCTTGCATTCACCCATCTTCGGGTCTGAAATATGGCCTTGTATTCCAACCCCAGGCAGTACTCTAAAGTTGTTCACAGTTGGCAGCTCAGAGGACTCTAAAGCATCCCCGATGCAACCCAATGCTTTGGACACAATCGCAGCAGCAATCGGATGCGCCGATTGCAATTCCAAAGCGGCCGCCCATTTCAGTGCTTCTTCTTGCTCCAGGCATTCAAAGGTTTGCTCCGTCGCTAAATTCTCCACTGATAGAACACTCAGCTCACCTTTGGTGAGGGTTCCCGTCTTATCCAAACCAATGGTGGCAATCTGGGGCAACTTCTCAACAGTCTCAGGCCGCTTCACCAGCAGGCCATGAGAAGCCGCAGCGGCAATGGCACAGGTGGTGGCCAGAGGTGCTCCAATCACAATGGCGCAAGGACAGGCCGTGAGTAAAATCACCAGGCCACGATGGCTCCAGGTACAGAAATCACCACCCACCAATGGGATCACAGCACACATGGTCACCACCACAATGATGATGCCCGGTGTCCACCAACGTGCAAAACGCTGGATCATCAGCTGCCGATCTGTTCTCTTCATTTGAGCTTCTTCCACCTGAGCTTCTATCTGAGACACTGCAGATTGAGAAGAAGCTGTCGTCAAAGTGACCTCCAAATAGCCATTCAGCACCACAGCTCCGGAGCAAATCAGGTCACCCTGCTGTTTTTGAATGGGATGTGATTCTCCCGACAACGCGGCTTCAGAGCAAGAGGCCGAGCCCTTGGACACTAAGCCATCTGCCGGACATTCCTCGCCAGGTCGTAAGGCGATCTCGTCTCCCGGCTGCCTGGCAGGAACGGCCAAGAACGGGTCATGAATGGCTCATGACCGGGTCACCTTTAGCCCGCGGGAACCATGCCGCAGGCGGAAAGTACAAAAAGTGATGCACGGTTGACTCAAAACATCTCACGTCCAAAGTCCAGAGGATCCTCTTTTCGAGTTTTGAATAATTTTGAATATGTTGGCTGGGTGGGTGAGTGGATAATGTCAAGGGTACCCGAAAAGCAGCAGCATCAAACAAAAAACTGGAGGTGCAAAATCGGGTCAAGTTGCAGTTCTGAGACGGGTAACGCTTTGCCGTCCACCATATGAACCGTATGAACTGCTTGAAGTTGCATCACCGCCCTCAAAGCACTGGAAACTCGATTCAGAGCAATCGACTCAACCACCTCAAAGCGGAGGGGTTGCCAACCATGGCCAACCCAAATATACCCTAAATATCCCTAAATATAAAAGAACCCAAGATTGAACTGGCATGGGATGATTTTTGATAGCCACGAACAAGGACAACAAAGATCAACAAAGTTTGGAATTGCTTGGGAACCTGGAAGGGCAGAATCCCCACTTTCGCCTTCCAGCCGCCTTGGATAAGTTGAAAAGCAAAACTACCAGAGCTGCATCGGCCCTTTCACCCTGGAAAGCAGCAGCTAAGGCTGCCAGTATCACCAACGTGGTTATATCGATCTCACCTTTTTGCAAGGAAACCACTGCCTGTGGTAGGATACCACACAGGCCAAGCAGCAGTGCCAGCAGCAGAAAGATGTCACCAGTGACGGGGAAACCAGAACATAACAAGCCTAACAGCATGAGAACACCGGAGATTTCCACGATCAAGTGACGAGTATGCCAACGAATCATGTCCCAAATCGTGGGAGTCACCGGATTGATCTCCAAATTGCCTTGCCCGAGCAAGGCAGCACCTAATCCTGTTCGATTCAAGTTTGCCATGACAAAGTCTGGTGTCGTGCAGTGTGGGCAATGCACCAAGATGCAAATCTTCTGAAAAGTGTTGATGGATACACTTTCAACACCAGGGAGTGGAGTGACAATCCTTTCGATCAAACGAACCTCCGAGTCGCAGCAAATGTTGCGAACAATAAATCGAGTCTTGACACTCATATGGTTGCCACATTCACCAATGGTTGTAGGACTCAACTCCACCTGCTCGGTATGTGTGCAACAGGCACAAGAATCCTGCAGGTCAGAAGTTGTCAAGAAATAGTTGAATAATAATATTGAAAATAATTGATAGAAAAAGGATGGATAAAGGTTTGAGAATGTTATTTTTAATGATGCTAGGCAATCGACTTGAACTGGAATTTGCTTTCAAAAACAGATAATAAGAACTTGTTTGCCACCCAACGTTCTTCTGCCTGGAATCAACCAATATCAATAATAGTAACAGATTTGACGCAGATCGACAGAGTCCCAGTCCCTGTCTCAGTCCTGCATGAAGGAGGTCCTGCCAATTCCTTTCCGATCTCTTCGAGGTCTGTGCAACTCATGTGGCGGTGGCGGCAGAGGAATACCGATCTCACCACACTCCATCTCAATGGCATCTGTGACGGTGGCCATTGCTGGCAACCAAGCCGCAGTTGGAACAACGATTCTCAAATCTTGTCAAATCTTGTTACACTTTTCGTGGGCCTGGACCTTCTAACTCGAATAAAATGATAGAGAGGCGCGTGTCCTATGTATATATATATACATATGTGTGTGTGTGTGTTTGTTTATATTTTTGTTTTTCTATGCATGTTGTGTGCACGCGTGTGTGTGTGCTGATGTGTGTGCTGATGTGTGTCGCAAAGTCTTCCCCTGTGATCCCCTGTGCTCCATCAGGCCCTGGGTCAATAGTGGCGTGTTTCAGGATGGTGTTTCATTCTTTGGGCCTACCATCCACAGATATCCACAGTACCTCCTTGAAGGATGATAGAATTTTGCATTGTCCGTTTGGAACAAGTCCTTGTAACAAGTCCTCATGTATACAATGTATATGTTGGACCCTGTTTTTTCATGTTTTTTTCAACGAGTACTTCCCACACAGCTCGGAGTATTGAAGGGGAGGGTATTGCAATTGCTCAAGGGTTTCTCATGTCTGTTTCTCATTCACAGTGTTTCTTGTTGTGCATGAATGGGCCGTGCCAGGGCCCGCAGGGGTGAAATGTCTTTTGCTATGATGTGGTCTCTATGAAACTGACTGTGCAGCGTAGATTCGAACACTTGCAGCTGCAAAGGTCGAGGGCGGTGGGATAGCTTTCCAACTTTTACAACGCATCACCGTGGAAGTCTGCCATGATCTTACGTACTTTGCAAGCACAAATGAGATCCGTGCTCCCAGTAAGCTGTGATCAACCTCCGCCTCTGAAGCCGACCTGGGCCAACCAACGGCAAATCTTTTCAAAACTGTCAGAATCTTAGCAACGTGCAAGAAGCACAGAGCTCATAGCCCCATAGCTTTCCGTAGTAGTCAGCAGATTCCACTATAGAACCAGTCTTCTCCAAACAGCAGCAACATCCCGAGAAAGGATTCTTCAACGTATTGGTACCAAGTAGGTGTAAAGCTTCGAACTTGAGCCCCGAACTGAAGCATGCTCTCAGAAAAGTAGTGGTTTTCGGGGCATCACCAAGCACCTTTCAACATCTGGCAAGCTCCTTCCCGTTGGAAGCCATCCAATCTAGTGACATCGTGCTGCATTGCAGTGGCTTGGGCCAGTGCTCATGAATTATTTTCTTCTCTGTGCATTTTCTGTCGTCAACTTTGGGCCACATAGCAGAGTCCTGCTAAAGGCAAACAGAATGACAGCCTCAATCTTTGTGAAGCCTATCCGTCTAGTTCTGCTCTATTTGCGGTCTAACTTGTGTAGTCCAAGCATTGAGCAAGAATGAACAAGGTGCTGGTTGGCACACTCAAATCCCAGGTCAGAGACTCGTCGAAGACACTCGTCGCGGCTACAAATTGGTCTTCCCAAAGCCAGTCTCAGTCCAGGAGACCTCCACGAATCCTGTGCATTTCGCCGAAAGTGGGACGGTTGACTCCTCTGCCCCCGACCTGTTGAAGGAGGTTTCACAAAAGCAATGGGGATAGAGCGAAGCTACTTACATGTCTTACGAACAGAGTCTCATTGAGATAACCACTATCGATACATTTGCAAGGGGACTGTCAGCGGGTCAGAGCTACAGTTGCAGGGGCTCGACTTGCTAGCTTTGTGGCAGACTGGGACTTATCATTGCACATCCTGCCAGTAAGGGGAGGGGTGAAGGCCCCCTCCCACTTTAAGCCATTTTGATTTTGATAATACCCATTGGGTCGATCTTTGGAGCACTCGCTACATCACTGCAGAAAGTTATAGCTTGAATTTGGATGCTATGCTACAGTTTGATTCTTCCAAGGTTGTTCGTCTGACCATGTGACCCCAAGGATGGGCAATGATGATGAACAAATGTCATGAGATGTCATCAGAATGCGGTGGTCACCATGGTCATTTGAAGTCATCTATGGTCAGGAGATCAAAGAGGCGCCCCAATCATCTGCAGCAGTTTCTTCCACTACTGGGGAGCGATGAGTGTGTTTGCGTGTCCATGCGTGTCCTATTGTTTTTTGATGTGTCGGTGTTGTTTATTCATTGCAAATTACTGTGACATCTGTGTCCCGCCATCTGGGAATATAACCACCTTTGCGAAACTTGACAGTGGGTGATTGCTGAACTGCTGGACACCTTGCTGCAATTTGAAGCAATGATGCGCATCAGGGGGATGCAGGGGTGGAAAGCATAGCTACAGTGGACTGGTCAAGTAGGCTCCTCCATGGTGAAATAAAGTGAGGGAAAGAGGCAAAGAGTGCCATCATGGTGTGGAAGTACAATACCAAGACTTGTGGCAAAGCATTCCAATATATTTGGCGGTCACAGCACCTTCTGAGAAAAAGGGCCCATCCAGTTGGCTACCACCATTCCTGAGGAAGGAGTGTCACTCAACGTGACCTAGACAGAATACACCGATTTAATTTAATCCAAGTTAGATCACGCATTCGGATGTGCTGGTTGTCACAAAGCGCATCGACCCGTCTGACCTTGCTCGCCAATCACGCAAAGACAAGACAGCTGGCTGATGCTATCTGCGGTCCAAGGTGCTTCTTAACCTTGGACACCAGTTAAAAAGTTCAGTATAGATTTGGTTGTACGCTGTTGGAGGCTGCAAGGACAGCAACACTTTATGACCAGCGTTTGAAGATTCCGTCATGGCAGGTGCCACAATACGCCTGGAGTGCTGCCGCGAAACCAGATCTGAAATCTGCGAGTCGCTCTGCATTGATGGATCTGCAATCATCAGCACATACCTTGCAACTGGAAAGCTACTTCCAGCCACCAGGGAGCCAGCCATTGGAAAGTTGCATCAACGAAGAAAGGCAAGGACAGGTCAAACACTAATGTGTCATGATTGGCAGAGTTTTCTTTCCATGCCAATATCATATCGATCATATGATGTGTTCTGTTTTTCTCGCAACTCTCACATTTCTACAAAACGAATTGTGCAAGACTCAACATACTCAACTTTGGGGAGACACACAGGGCCTGGGGACAAAGCATTGGCGAGAAATCACAGACACCGTGCATCCAACATGCAATCATCAAGTGATACTTTGAGCTAAAGCACGCCACTCAAAATCATCTTATCATGGGCCATTTCAGAGCTTTTCATATTTTTCTTTGCCCATCATGAAGGCCAAACACTTTGCCAAGATCTTTTCATATTTTTCTTTGCCCATCATGAAGGCCAAACACTTTGCCAAGTCGCTCTCCAGCCTGTTTCACTGCAGCCTGACGGTCAGGAGGATGTAGGCGCTCAGATTTTCCACGACAGCATTAGAGAAAAGGTGAAGTCGCGAAAATCAAGACTTTCCAAACTCCTCAATGACCCACAAGATCACAGCAGTTTTTCGTAAGTGCTTCTCAGGAGCTGCAACCACTTCACGGTCGGCCTTCGCAACGGCTCCAACAAGGAAAGCCAGGGAAGAGATATGAGATAATATGAGATGATATGACAATGAGTCGTACGATAACATTTGGTCACAAAATGTTTCAAGGTGCACCGGGGACAAGTGTGAGATTTTGAGACTGCACTATGGCTCTGCATAACTACACATATTCCCATCAAACCTTCTTTGCAAACAAAGACTACCGGCATTTCAGCACAGATTGGCACCTTCATTGAGCTGGAGGCGAATTGCAGGGCAAAGCCGTCCTTGCCACTGCAAAATTTGCAATGCACAAAGATTTTCATACAAGTGCAGGCCATACATGTGCACGCAAGTATATGTTCTATTCTGTTCCAGCTGCCACGACCTTTCTGGATGCCGGATCTAGATACATGGATATCATGGATTTTCAACATTGCTTCCACATTCTGGCCCTGGACTCTGATGTCAGTGTCAAGACTCCTTGGAAACTGCTGCCAGAACGATCTTCTTGGAATTTCTCAGCTTTTCTGAAGCAAACCTTAGATGCCACGACTGCCTGCCACGAAAGGATCAGACGCGGAAAAATTGCACCAGCTGCCGGGCAGCTGAAGCGCCGAAGGGTTGGAGGTGACGGCAACCATGGCAATTTCAGCATCACCTTCAGGACACCATGACTCATTCTGTGACTGTATGGTATATATGGTATATGCTTTAGTATGTTATAGTTATGCTATATATATAATATATATATATATATATATTATTATGTGTATATAATATGTATTATATAGATATTATATACATATATACATATATACATTTATAATACAGCTTGAGTATTGTACAAGAATGCACTGTATAAGAATTTGAGGGGCTCGGTTCCCAGATGGGCTATATATTTTCAGCTATACCAAGATGGGCTATATATTTTCAGCTATTCCAAACAGCCACGCAGGATTCCGGCCACGACAGAGCCCAGCGCGGCCAAAACCCTCGTATAACGCAAAATCGCGCATAGATCGACGATCTACGCGCGTTTTTGCGTTTTCCTGGCGCCGCGGCCCCGCTGCAAGCAACCAAGGCCAAAAACCAGCGTAGCCGGAACAGCCACGCAGGATTCCGGCCACGACAGAGCCCAGCGCGGCCAAAACCCTGGTATAACGCAAAATCGCGCATAGATCGACGATCTACGCGCGTTTTTGCGTTTTCCTGGCGCCGCGGCCCCGCTGCAAGCAACCAAGGCCAAAAACCAGCGTAGCCGGAACAGCCACGCAGGATTCCGGCCACGACAGAGCCCAGCGCGGCCAAAACCCTGGTATAACTTTTGCGTGAGTAGTCAAATCTGCCAACTCCACCTCGTTACCTTGTTTAATCTTGCTCCAAATTGTGCAGATGCCTGCAATACAATACTAAGAATGCCTTAAGAATTTGAGGGACCCTCGGCCTGTTGTAGTGTAAATTTGCCTGTATTTAAAAATAAGAATTTGAGGGACCCTGGACCTCAAGCTTTCGGATTCTTCACCAGCGCTCGGGCTGTAACTTATATATCCTTTAAAGCCCGAAATACATCAAAATAACAGTTATACTAATGGTTGTCAATGGGGTTATCATTCCATAATTCCATAAATGAAGCTATATTAAATGTTATAACTGACTTCTAACAAAGGGCCAACAGTTCTTTAAGTTCTTTGGCTATCTTTTCGACCCTGAAATCGTCGAGCACATCCATGAAACATGGTGGATTCTTGTGTAATCTTGTGTATATCAGCCTGTGGTTTACGATACACATCTATGCCGCTAGCCAAACTGTAGCCATGCACCAACCTGAATCATTCAGGTCATATTGGGATAATTTCCAATTATAATCCCATGCAAGATAATGCCCGAAAAATCGAGGCTCCAAGTGAAACACGCACAAATATTCAACCTGATTCAACCTGATCCAGTGATTCGGTGACTTCATCAGGTAAAACCAGGGATTTCACCAGGGATTTGTAAGTTTCAGGAGATGTGCCAGCCCGCGGTCCTTTTCAAACACGCTTCTCAAAGCAAGCCAAAGCACTAAAGGATTCTGAACTCAGGGGCCACTTTGAGCCATGCTGGCTGCACATGTAATCACGCATATGCAAACTGATCAGCAATTGCAGAGCTGTCACCACCATAATCTGGATCGCCCCAAGTCACAACCAACCCATCCGCTAGGATCGCAGCAAATGCGAAGCCAGTTGCTTGAATCTGCTGGACACCCTTGAGTTGATCTTGGACTTCAAAGCTGTCACCGCCATAACGTGGATTGCCCCAAGTCACAAGCGACCCATCCGCCAGGATCGCAGCAAATGCGCTGCCAGTTGCTTGAACCTGCTGGACACCCTTGAGTTGATCTTGGACTTCAGAGCTATCACCGCCATAACCTGGATGGCCCCAAGTCACAAGCGACCCATCCGCCAGGATCGCAGCAAATGCGCTGTAAGTTGCTTGAACCTGTTGGACACCCTTGAGCTGATCTTGGACTTCAGAGCTGTCACCGCCACAATCTGGATCGCCCCAAGTCACAACCAACCCATCCGCCAGGATCGCAGCAAATGCGCTGTAAGTTGCTTGAACCTGCCGGACACCCTTGAGCTGATCTTGAACTTCGGAGCTGTCACCGCCACAATCTGGATCGCCCCAAGTCACAACCAACCCATCCGCCAGGATGGCAGCAAATGCGCCCGAAGTTGCTTGAACCTGCTGGACACCCTTGAGCTGATCTTGGACTTCAGAGCTGTCGCCGCCATCATCTGGATCGCCCCAAGTCACAACCAACCCATCCACCAGGATGGCAGCAAATGCGCCCGAAGTTGCTTGAACCTGCTGGACACCCTTGAGCTGATCTTGGACTTCAGAGCTGTCACCGCCATAACGTGGATCGCCCCAAGTCACGACTGACCCATCTGCAAGGATCGCAGCAAATGCGCTGCCAGTTGCTTGAATCTGCTGGACACCCTTGAGTTGATCTTGGGCTTCAGAGCTGTCACCGCCATAACCTGGATTGCCCCAAGTCACAAGCGACCCATCCGCCAGGATCGCAGCAAATGCGCTGTAAGTTGCTTGAACCTGTTGGACACCCTTGAGCTGATCTTGGACTTCAGAGCTATCACCGCCATAACCTGGATGGCCCCAAGTCACAACCCGGTTGCCTCCGCTGCAAAACAATGCAAAAGCGCGTGCTGTTGCCGCTACCTTTGGGTGTATGACAATGGCTGTCAGGTTGTCTCCATCTTCAAGTCCTGCAGATTGCAGAGACGCTGCAGGATCCACCATGCCATGGTCTGCATCCACAAGCCTCAAGAAGCCACGTTGAAATGATTTTTGCGCCAGAATCCTCAAGTCCCCTACTTTGGAGGATGGAGGAAGTGTAAATGCCTCACTGCGACCGCTTGGCAAAGCTATACTGATTTGAATCATCTCTTGAAAACTCCAGCTCGTCCAAGTTGGTGGCTTCAACCTCCTTTTTCAAGTTAACTGAGATTATCACCCCCTTTTTTTAGTGGTGCTTGAATGGTGTTTGGATAAAACATGACAACCACATACCCTCTGGTAAACCAACATAACTATGGAAAATCACCATTTTAAGTTTAGTAAATCAACATAAATCAATATAAATCAACTATTTCTTTGGCAATTTTCAATAGCAAGCTCTTAGTTTACAACCACATCATTGCATGTTTCACCACCAAGCTGTAGCTGTCTGATCTTGAGCCAAACTTCGCCCAACTCCGGCATCCTGCTGAAGATTTGCTGTCGACATCCGGTGATATACAACTTTAAAAACTTTAAAAGCTTTAAAAGCATCCCTGGTATAACTTTTGCATGAGTAGTCAAATCTGCCAACTCCACCTTGTTACCTGGTTTAATCTTGCTCCAAATTGTGCAGATGCCTGCAATACAATACTAAGAATGCCTTAAGAATTTGAGGGACCCTCGGCCTGTTGTAGTGTAAATTTGCCTGTATTTAAAAATAAGAATTTGAGGGACCCTGGACCTCAAGCTTTCGGATTCTTCACCAGCGCTCGGGCTGTATTCTATATTATGTATATATATATATATCTCTCTCTCTCTCTCTCTCTCTCCGACTCTACCCCATATCAATGGGATTCAATGGGTCTATCATGGACGGCCAAGTTGCGGGAAATCAGAAGGACAGTGGAAAACATGGGAAAACGATCAAAAACAATCGCACAACAAAAGCACTTCTTTTGCGTGTTTTTGTAGTGCTAAAGAAAACCCGTTTCCATGAAAATCATGAAACACATCATTTGTTCGCTGCCTCGTAGGTCTTGAGATGCATGCTCCAACATCAGACCATTCTCGTGCAAGGCTCCAAGGACCATATTCCTATTCCTCCGCAACTCCTGACAGATTGAAGGAAAGTGCAGGCCATCATCAGGCCATCCATCTATTTCCACAGAGCAAACGACATCCACTGGATCTTGCCGGCAATCGCAGCTCCTCCGAAGCATACTGCAAAGCCCAACCACGACCTGGTAGGGTGTTGAACAGAAATGCGATCCACGACCACCCTTGTCAAGAACTGTGACAGGAGCACTACTCTGCCCCTTCAAGTGCAAATATGTTTCGTTTAGGTTTCTACTACGATCTACTACGGTGTCTGTCAAGGCACTCGTCTGAATGGCAGCTGCCACAACAACCTCAGATCAAGTACCCGCCTGTCACCCGAAACAAGGCAAAAGGAAACTTGAGCAGTCTCAGTAGCGGACTTCGTCTCGCCTCTCATTGGTCAGAATTCAAGTTGGCATATGTTGCCATAAAAACATGTACTTTTCGTATGCAAGAGCTCACCATAGCCGACCTCAGCTCCTGGGATGCAAATTCCAGGGCTTCGCCATGAACCTGCCTCAGCATATCTCAGCCACGGATCATCAAGGCTCAACCGGACTGAAACGATGTTGAAACAGGGTCACTTGATGTCACTTGAGAGTGGCACACAGCAGCTAGTACAACATCGCGGTCTGCTCGCATCTCTGCGGCTGCGAACCTTGCCGCAACAAGGTGACCATTGGCCCATTGGCTAACACATGACCAGATCCAAAAGAACAGAAAGTCAGTAGATTGGTGACCTCAAAACGGTTTCAGATGGTTAGAGCATGTGACCTGATCTAATCCACTTTTGGAATGCTTTGGGCACAGCCATGTCAAATAGTTGGGCAAGAGACTCGAGGCACAAGCCACTGCGCCGCACTGCTGTGAGAACAATGTCTCGGTCTCGCTTGAGTTCTTCTGCAGCAAACCTGAAGAGACTGCTGTGGCCGCGGCCCATTCGGTTGGGGGATGGCAACAAATCTGATGGCCATGGTCGACAGCATGCTGCCCAAGTCGCTGAAGAGCCCAACCTTTGGAACTGCGCAAGGCTTCCAAGACTACCTGGCATGGAGTGTTTCATGACCCAATCCTGATCAGTAAGATTCACTAAGGATCTCTGAACATGAAATGCCCAACAAAGTCTGCCAAACACTTGGTACAGTTTGGAACCCGATATAACCCTATAAACACCCTTTCCAGTTCTGTTCCTCACCGGGCCAGTCGGGGCCAGTTGTCTGGCCTCGCGGTCTTGCCGCAGCTGTGGCGCTGCTTCTTCCAAAGCCTGTAAAACAGCAGGGGCACATCGGTTTTCAAATCAGTTTATCATGCCACCCAATTTTGGGGGAATGACATGGAATGACCCTCTTTTCAGATACGCCCAGGAGTTGATTGTGATGAGGATTAATATTGACTTGTGCAGGGCAACCGCAAACTGGAGTGCAACCCTGAGGTTTTCTATCGCACCTCCCCGTTGGATTGAACGACGGTCAGCATGAAGTCCCGATCCAATGTGCGGCCCTGTCGAATCTGAAGACTGTTGAGGTGTGACTCTGTGACTAGGAATTTTCCCTGGAGGGGGCCTTGGACACATGGTTCAGCGCCCAGGAAAGGACCACTCGTTCATCCTCAAGGCTCAAAGGAGGGCGACAGGAATACCACGAAAGCTTTCTCCCAAGATCAATGTTCGAAGATGTTCAAAGCATGCTGTCCTGCTGCAGGTACTCGCTGGCCCTCTTGATGGCCAGCAAATTCCTGGAAAAGCGTGCCCAACATGGAAGCCAGCCCAAGTACTTTGCATAAATAATGAACTGAAATATGTTGGGCATTGTTGGGCCAATCAGGATAGTTGGCTTGTTGCACACGCCTCTACCACGGAATCTAATTGCGGTGGCAACTCTCTCTCTCTCTCTCTACTATATATATATGGGAATTCTAGGGTTTCCTCAAAATAGGGACAAGACTCGATTTCATGGCCAATTTGTAGTTCCGGCGTGCAGCCACAAGCTCCTGGCCATAACAGCCATAACAGGAAGCACTTCAACAAATTCAACAAGCACTGAAACTAACAACAGAATCTGGGGAAGCCAAAGAATCTGGGAAGCCACGTGCGATCACGTGCGTCCCTGCGTTTGAAATCACACTATAGTCACTAGTCTGACTTTCAGTACATTTGAAAACCTCATACAAAGATTCCAAAGGTCAAAAAGCCGAAAAAATCCGGGTTTCAGCTCATCCACATCATCCACATTTTAAGAGCACAACTTGAAAAACAAGAATCAACAAATCAAATATAGAGAAGATCTCCTGGCAGGCCCTTTCCAGATCATCAGCTTCAAGTCTTGCCAGCTCTTCTTGGCACTGTTGCAAATGTTGTTCCACATCTCCATTCCCAAGGCGGCCACTGAACCTCTGCAGGTGCAACAGGTCACACCTTTGCTGGAGCAACTCGTTGCTTTGGCGCAGCGCAGCTCTGAGCTCAATGAGTTCTGCATTGAAAGCTTCGATCACGGGCTGCATGGTACTGGAGGTAGCACCTGGTCACTTTATGGAAAGATATGGAAAGCATGGAGAAAGTATGGGAAAATCAGGACATGACCAACGGTTCAGCCTGTTAAGGGAGGGTGTTCATGCACTCTATGACTTTGGTGATGTCAAAAATAAAATCCATCGGAGTCTGAAAGCAGGCAGGGAACTCCACCCGTTCAGCACCAAGCCATTTGCTTGTGTAGCAGACAATAGTGCGCTGCGACACTGCATCAAATCCTTCACCAAACTGAGCTTTTGAGTATGATGTTAAACTAGGATTAATGAACCCCCAGTTTACTAATAGGGAGGACCAATTTTAGTATATTTTGGGCATTTTAGTGGTACAAGTAATGTATTTTGGTACAAGTAATGTATCACTATTTTGGGATAGCGCCGCCAATGAACTCTCAGCGTCTGAATGCGTTTGATTTGTCCGGGGTTGACATTTATAGGACTTGGGGAAACCTGCATACTAGACTCGCTAGACTCACGAGATCATCAACAGAATGTATTCCAACTTGGTCCTCCGCGGCTCTGCGAGCTCCTTTGGAGCCTCGCGGTATCACCTGACACTTCCGAGATCTTGCGACAAGGGGCGTTCAGAATTGCAGGTGTTACAAGGCATTCATCACTTTGGATCACTTTTCGGGCCACATGTTGCATCCGCAAATCAAACGTGAAAGACTGCAGTAAACAAAATAGTTCAATGATTGACAGCTGAAGCTTTGTGGATCAGACCTGCTCTTTTCAAGCGACGTGCATAGGACCCATATCATGGCTCAAACATGCTCACACATGGAGCATCGAAAGGTCCGAAAGGACTCAACATTTGGATATATTTGGAGGATTTTGGAGGACTATTGATTTTGAGCTGTGCCATGCTCAAAAAATTACCGTGTTGCCCCGCCTCAAACACAACTGCGCGATTCCTCTGCAAGTGTTCTGCTGCATCCTCCAGCCCATTCGCACTGGCCACCACCTCAGGTCAAGCTTCGCAGCAAGAAAACTACTGAGGACTGAAGGGATCTTAAAAATATCTCATTAATAATCTCAAATATCTAAAGTTATCGCTACCATGGAGATTGTGTCTGCCAACTGTACTTCATTGTACTTCCGCCATCTTCCGCCCATCACTGCTTGGATCCATCCTGATCATCCTGTCCAAGTAAGTTCGCAGCCTTCGCAGTGGCCCGCTTGTAATGGGCAGCCCTTGGCGAAATGCGTGCTGTGTTTGAGCGGGCTGCTCATGGGAGAACCTGCTTCAGAAGACTCTGGCCCGAAATGCTCTACATGTTCCTCATCAATCAATATCAATCATGTCAGATCAGGCTTCCCAGTCGTGCTTTGCTCAACTGTAGCCTGACCAGTCCTGACTGGGGCTCAGCATTGCATGACTGATTGCAGCCAGCACACGTGTCCGCAGCAGTGATTCGAATCTGCTCCATCCTGAGGATCGAAACGCTTCAGGGTCTCTCTGGTCTCTGGGGAATGTGTAGCAGCGTAGCATGTTGTTGTGAAATGATGCCATCATATGCCATCTGAAATCCACATTTCCAGCCGCCCGTTTGTTTTTGACTGTTTGGACGCTGCACTGCCGCGAGCACTACAAATACATCAGTTGGTGATTAATTGTATTAAGTTTTAAGTATGCCATGCACAGCAGTGATGAACTTGCTCCCGTTCCTGCCATGTTCTGATGCTGCCAGAGACTGCCACAGCAGCCTCGCCAACTGTTGAATTGAAAAATCCTTCATTTTCAGAAATCTTATGGAACCATATGGAAATATATGGACTATATGGAACCTCCCCCACTTCGGCAGAGTTCCCGGTTGGAATCACCATGAATCACCACAGCCAAGGCTCTTGGAATGCGCCGCACTGAACGCCGCATCACAGCGCGCAGGCAAAGTTGCGATCAACTCGGTCGACTCTCCAGTCTCACCGAGCGCCTGATCAAATGGACGAAACTCTTGGCGAAACTGGTGATCTATATACGTTCCGTTACATTCCCATATATATATATAACATATATATATGTGTGTGTGTGCATGTATATTATCTTATTTAAAAAAAATGTATATATTATATATACATATCCGCCGACCCCGGCAGAAGAAATGGGGAGGGCGCCAGGGAAGAAGAGTTCCAACACCACCACCAACACCACCACCACCAACCACCACCAACCACCACCAACCACCACCACCACAACAACAACAACATGCGGCCGTTTTGCGCTATGTCTTTGGCTCTTTTCAGACCTTAGGGACTCTTTGTTCAAGGCCTTGTGACATCTCCTTCCTTCTCTGCCCTGCTGTTTAGGTTTGCTTTTGCAGCAGGTTTGCCACTACAGTACTTAAAAATACTTAAAGAATTCGTCAGAAGGGCACGAAGGAATCTGGGAGGGAGAATGTGTGGAGTTGTGTTGAATGAAGTATGCTTATTGGCTCATCATAGCACAAATCCACAAAAATTCCATCAAGAGATATCAGAGACGTTACATTCGGTACCGGCCTCCAACGCTTGGACCCAGGACTCGTCTGCTTCTCGCACTGTTACTGCGGAAATGATGTGATTCAAACATGTCCGCAGCACCTGGGGATCAACGTCTCATTGGACTCAAAAATGCTCGAAATATCTGATGATGACGTATGATGACGTGTAATTGTGGAACCTCCAATGCCACATGAAGCATGACAAGACATTACAAGACATGACAAGACATGACAAGACATGACAAGACATGACAAGACATGACAAGACCATATACCATCAGAGACCATCATAGACCATCATAGACCATCATAGACCAGATCAACATAGAGCAACTGACAATAATTTTCTGGAAGTCCAATGAAGTCCAAGATACCAAGGAATTGCACAAAGGCCTCCCGTTGGACGCTATGATCTGGCAAGATCCTGCAAGGCCGTCGCCGGAATTGTGTCCCAAGATGTCCCGGGGGCTTAAGTGGTTCAATAGTTCAATCATGTTCAATCTACATTTGAATCTATCTGTACCGATGTGTACCGTAAAGCACAATAGCAGCACATCAGCTCCAAACATCTCCGAAAACATGAAAACCGCATCTCAACTCCTGGGATTCCAGTAGTTCTTTCCAGCTGCACCTTGAGGTCTCGCACCGTGGTGCCCATTTCCAGTATTGTCTCCAACAAGCGGCGGCGACCTGCACATGTTTTTGCATACTGCTGGTGGATCACCCCGACTTCAACTGTTCAAGCGGCAATTTTGATAGAATTACGGCTTAGACAAAAACTTACGATATAAAGATACATGTTTAAGAACTATATATGTATATTGTACATTACATGATAGTACATGTTTTGTCTAAAATATTTGTCAAAGGATTTCATCGATTTTGAAACATAGAAAAATCAAATTCTATCGATTAGATACTCTGACAATACCAATGATCTATATCTATTTTGTACAGTTGTATCTGAGCTGGTCTATTGGGCACAGAAACAGAGCATTTGCCAAAAGAATGTTTCATTGAAGCGCCGCTAAGCTTGCCCAGTGACATTGCATCACTTGACAATTCTTTTTGGCAAACTTACAGTGACTAACAGAGCTAGTTCAAGCTTTGACTTTTCTGCTCTTGCCCAGACTTCCACTTCATGTCACCTCGAAATACTTGAAGGGCAATTGGTTCTTCGTCGTCTAAATGAAAGTCCTGGCCAATCTTTGACCGTCTGTTGCGTCCTCAAACTTGATGCGGCGTACATCGGCGAACACTGTCCTGAATGGCATCGGCCTCGCACTCCGAAAATCCCTCCTGCAATGTGGGGCAAAACATAGAAACTTGCTTGAGTTGGGTGCAGTTGTTGCTAATGATATCTAATGATCATGCTTGAAAATACTGCCATATCTTCTTTGGAAGACTAATGTTAGTAGGCTTTTCCTCGTCACTGCCATGAAGACCCGCTGTGAAGGAAGGTGGCCCTGTTTGCTGCAAGGGCCGTGGTGCCATGGCATCATGGCACTGGAAATGCTCCCTTTGGGATATGATGATATATATGCCAAATGCCAATACAGTAGTAGCTTAGTAGCTTGCTGAAAGTGGAAGCTTGAGACTTGCAGTTACAGTTTCACGGTGCTGTCCGTTGCAAGTTTTTGCAGGGCAAATTCAGGGCCATCAACTTCATGAGACTGCTGGATTTCAATGGACTTCAAGCTGAATCGGCTGCAAGGGTTGGGTCAGACATGGTTGAGTTTTCCCATCTTTCTTTGCCAAGCAGGATCAAAACCAAAACTTGATCTTCATGCTTCAGCAGCACCTAGGCGAGGTTGAAAGGCCAAAGTGTGGCAAGTTATCGTCTCAACTGTCTCAACCTTGGACAGCTGCAGGTCTGAACCATTGTGATATGTGTGCCATGTTTGGCCAATCGTTGCAGTAAAGGCCCAGGCTGGAACAACTTTGCCAGCAAGTGCTTTCGACCTTAAATTTCACCGCACAGATCGTCAAACCGAGTTTGTGCTCATTGTATCTCACAGCCATTACAAATAGATCTCCTGGCTTCTGCCTTCAAACTCTTCAAAGGGCGCATGCAATGTTCGGGTCAATTACACGTAAGCAGAGTTGCACAAGTGCTGACAGCCCACACATCACATCCAACTTTTGCTGCCCTTGTGTGTGAACCCCAAGATCGCTCCAGGATCGCGGCAAGAGAACTCACACCAACAGTGTTTGGGCGAATGCTCCGTGCCTGGTTCAGGTGAGAAGCTCAGCATCAAGGAGTTCACTTCTAGCAGCTAGCAGCTAGCATTGGCACTCTATTAGCACTTCCTTTTTAAGCGAAAACGACAGGCCAACCACCAAAACAAGACAAGTACTGACAAGTACTGACTAGTACTGCGCAGTAGCTCCGGAGAATGAGGCCGTGGCTGGTATGGCGGGGCTCACCTGGACCATCAGCTCTTCACCAAGCAGACATGAACTGAAGCGCCTGTTGCACATGCCGCACCTTGCCAGCAGGTCCATCTCTGGGAAGCTCCAGCAGCTGCACCGGGACACGGCGTGGAGAAGCTTTGCCATCCTAAGGCACGGGGATGGCACGAGGTCGAAATCCGAAAGCGTCGGCAAGCGTGAAAAATGTATAGAATCTGTGAAGATCTGTGAAGACCTAATGCTGTGATGTGATGACTACCTGATGATCCTGATATATCCTGATGACCCTGATGACCTGTCAGGACAATGATGTTTTTTCAGTGTTCATGGCGCATGACAAGGACCCGTTGGCTAAGGGATGCTAAGGGTATGACTGTCTCTTGAATGGCCAAGCCTTCAACAGAGAAGTCACCTGACATCGGGCCCAAACCACCTGGGAGCTGTCGAAGCAAAAACCATCCAAGACCGGGCCATACCGGGCCTAGTGGCACCTCCGGCAGCAAGTGCTTCAGTTGCGTCAAGAATGCTTCACCTGGCATGAAAGCTGATAAATACTGTATAATATGCATACGTATATAACCGTGTATGTGCGTTTATTTAATTATCTATTTATTTAATTTCATTTATCTATATATATAATTATAAATTCTAAACTGGGCATAGAATTGCAGGCTTCACGTCATGCTTGGCCGCCAGGCGATTTGGCCGTCCAACATCTGCCACCAGAGCCACCTGGATTCTGGAGATCAGGAGATCGATGGTGAACCAAGGCGGCACTTCACAAGTCACAAGTTACCACGAGGTCGAAGCCCCTGGCAGAGCCGCGTCGAAAGGCTTCCGCCACACGATGCGCCATTGCCTCTGCAGTTGCCTTCTCGTAGAAAACCTGAAACGTGCATCCCACAATGACCATAATGACCTCTGACTTCATCAAAGATATTGGAAGCTACTGGGATTGCTGGCACCCCCAACATGATCCAAAATAAAAGAGTTTGGGTGGCTCATGACTATGGCTGCAGTGTTTCCATAGCCAGGACTCCCCACATCAGACGCAACCACAACTTCAGCTGGTGGCAGCTGTACAGAAAGGTCATTGATGTCCAGTTGCGCCGTGCGTATCCAAAGGCCCTGACAGTCATCATGTCAGCTGAATGATACAATGACAAGATCAACAACTCAACAACCGCATCAATAAGATTCAATAAATATCAGTGGCTAATCTGTTGGATTTGTTCGAGATTTTTGGTGCACATTTATGCACAGTTCACATGTCATATCATCTGCATAATTGTGCGATCATATCCGATCAAACATGATCTATCTATCATGATCATCAAGAATACGCACAATAAAGGCACGCCTGCCGGCGGGCCGCCGCTCGAAGTAGTTGGAGAGGCTACTGCCGAAAGTCTGTGGCCAAAACATCCGCCCCCAGGCGAGCTGCCTGATCTAAGACATTGTAGGACCAAGAGAGGGTGGAGAAACGAACGAAACGAACATGGTTTGAGTCGGTTTAAATCGAAGCTTGGCCCCCCAGCTGTCAACGACGCCAAGCCGCAGCCTGCACCAAGCTCCTGGGCATCGCTGACAGGAATCTGCTGCGAATGGACATTGTAGGTCCATAACTGCAGCTTGGTCTCCAGGATCCGTTGGTCAGGATTAACGGTGACGTAGGCTGCGACTGCTTGGGCCAGCACCTGCTCAGATTGAATCTGTACTACCCTGCTTCGAGAACGCACAAAGTTTAAGAATGTACCAAAATGCCCACGCCGCTGCTAGGAAAGAGAAGGAGAGATAATAAAATGATGTGTGATGGATCATTTTGCAGTGATAATCATGCGATATACGGAGACTTTTGTTGATGGCTTGCTTACAGCCTCCAGTTTAGAGCAATGCTGAGAAGCTAACCAGGGCAGAAGGCCACAAGGCCACACCATAGGGATCCAACCTTTGCTGTGCCAAAGTCAGATGTCACCGGATGTCACCGGATGTTACGAAGCTAAGCACAGCACAGGCCACTCTTCTGGCTTCCGGATCCGGATCCGGCAGCATCTGCGACTGCCTGGCCGAGAGATTCAAGACCCCAGGGCCTCCCAGGGCGTCCCAGGGCGTCCCACCTGCTCCACCACCTTCTCTTGGCCTTCCCTCGAGGCCTCGAGCACGTAGAGACGGAGCCTCGGGCATTTCACATTTGGAGTTGATTTGGGCAAGCCGTTGTAACGGTGACTGTAACATACTGTAACCATTTGTAACATTGTAACCCTGTAATAACTCATGCCATCCCATAACATAAAGTAGGATGGGCAAAGGACTCGAAAAATATTGTTGCAAGATACTCCAAGTGGTAATGTCATGCCCTCCCATACATCAATACATTACCTTGACAGTCAGCCAATGTCAGCCATATTTTCCAGCTGTCATCCCTCATCCAACCTTGGCGTCACGACAACCTCCACTTCAACTGCTTGCGCCAACAGAAGGGCGTCACCTTTGTGATTTTGGAAGCGCTTCGACCATAATCTGAAAAATATCGAAGAATCATTTTAGGGATTCTAGGACTATCATCAAAATACCGAATGAAAAAAGGTGCATCGCAAACTGGCGAAAAAGGCAAAACGGCTCAAGATGGCTCAAGCTCTTGCCAAAATGGCATCACAATGGTCCCTAGGAATTCCTAGGTGCCGTTTTCATACCCGCGGCTGCGTCACCACTTGTGAGACATAGGCAATGAGGAGTCCGAGGAGATTATTTCAGGCCGCTAGGCCAAAGGATTTGGGATCGTGATCTCATGGGCAAGACACAGCCAAAATCAGCCAAAAATGTTGCACACTGATCACACTGCACTTGAAGCAACTTTTGCTGAATCTAGCTGGGCTGATACCTTGCAAGCTCGTGACTCCATGTGCACCTTGCCCTGAGACCACCTTGTGCTAATTGTGCCCTAGTTGCACAGTATTCAGCACTAACGAGCATCAAACAAGTGGCAGCAGCAGCTGCTGCTGCTGAGCGCTCTGCAGCCACAGCTGCTAGAAATATTGGCTTCGACATGCTTTGACCGTTGCTGGGGGTGTAGCATGAGCACCTCACCATTTGCCCTTGCCATATGGGCCACCCATTCCACCACCCATGCAACCACCCATTTCCATGCCGCCACCCATTCCACCACCCATTCCACCACCCATGCCACCCATAGCACCCATGCCACCACCCATTCCACCACCCATGCCACCACCCATGCCACCACCCATACCCTTGCAGCCCATGCCCTTGCCACCCATACCCATGCCACCCTTCATTCCACCGCCCCATCCACCATCCCATCCCCAGCCACCTCCCCAAGCACCATAGCCGCCCTTTCCAAAACCACTGCCGTCCCACATCCCAAATCCTCCTTTGCCCTGATCCAAAGGCTGGCTTCCACCAGTGATGTTTTTCGCCTGCGTTTGCTGCGGATGGGCGGGCCAAAATAGTTGACACATGTTGACACGTCTCATGTCAAACTATAAACGGTGCAATCTTATGCATCCAAATTCAATTCCACTTGGCTTCAAACAAGTCAACAAAACAGCCATTATAGCCGCCCACCACAGCGGACCATACCGGATCAGTGGCCTCTTTGTTTCCTGGTTTCAACTGACTGTCTGCCATGTCAAACTTCAAAATGTCGCCAGCTGCAGGCTTGCTTCCAACACAGTCTTTGACATTGAAAAACAGCTCGGTGCCATCGTCCATCGTGATGAAGCCGTAGCCCTTCGCTCCGAAGCTCTTGCATCTTCCCGAGAAGGCGCCTGTGCCCTCGACGGGACCGCTGAAGGATGAGGATCCCCATGCAACGCGATCGGCGGAGCAACCCTTCACATTCTTGGCCTGATACTGCTCGGGGTTATTTTTCCTGGCGTAACGCTAGACATCGCTAGGCCATAGATCCATTTGATGCATTTAGATCCAATGAGATCTACATCGTACATATACATATTATATATGTGTGTGTGTGTCAATCCACTGGTATACTACAGCGTTGAAACACAGCCCTGCTCAATCCCTCCCAGCAGCAGAAATGGTGAAAATATGTGAGAATATAGTAGACAACCGTTTGACGTCAGTCTCAACCAACAATTCCCGACACTCGCACCAATGAAGTTCTGAATTCCTTTCCAAAATTTCCCCTTTCCCGCCCACACCACCCATAATCTCCTTGGCTCATACTGAAATGTCAAAATGTCACCTTCTTTCGGTTGCTTTCCAACTTCGCACTCCGAAAAGTGAACGAAGAGAGTCTGACCACCCATGTCAATGAAGCCAAAACCCTGACAGGCTTGGAATATTTGGAATGGACAGCGTGGAATGACAACCATGCGGAGAATCATGTCAAAAAAAACACCGGTAGGTCTGTCGACAACAAATGACAACAGTTACAGTATATTATAAACACCAGCAAGCCCCCTGAGCTGTCCTCTCACTATCATGGCGAGTGGCACCCCTATGTGCTCAAATGAGCATCAACAGCAATGTTGAAACATGCGTTGTTAAAAAACACGAAAAAAAAGGATAAAAATCATCGCTCTACATGATGGATTGTGATATATCGTGATGGCCCTGGCTGACCTTGGCAGCATTGAAAGAGGTGCAAGTTCCTGTTCCTGATGGCAACGAGGCGAACTCCATGGCTACAACAGCGGCCTATTCCCCAAACTCCTCGAACTGGCGGCATGTCAGAAATGACAAACAGCAGCAGAAACGATGGCATGGAAAGCACAAACCACCAGAAGCTGCTTGACCATGCTTGACCACATTTTACGTGTTTGATACTGTTTGAATTTGTTTGATCATGTTTGCATTGCATGATGTGCCCAGTAGCCATTGCTCATTGAGCCCAGTGCATCCCATTGCCATCTTTTCTCGGCTCCGCCCTTCCTCAAAACCGCCATCTTGTGCCGTGACACACTCTTAGAGTCACAGCTTCAGCCGGCGCTGTGGCTGCTTCTCTTTCACATCTTTCACACCAGCTGATGACACACACGTTGACACCAGTGAGATGGCAGAAGTGTGTTGAAATACATTGAAATATCATGAAATGTCATCAAATTTCGTGGAAAAACAAAGCCAACTAACACTGTAACACCTGAAACTTCAGGAAATCATAGCCGATATTCAGAAGTTCCATTTAAAATTCCTTCCACTGTTCACCACCTGATTTGAGAAGCAACCACAAGACATCTCTGAATCATTAGCTCCTGCAGATGCTCCTGCCAGGATCGGCAGCTGCATTTTCAGACATTTCTCTGATTTTCTTTGCAGCTTCACCGATGCTCACTTCACCAGCCACCTTTGGCGCAGCCACCTGCCGAGTACGGTCCAGGCGCAACAGGTGCTGCCGGAGCAGGGCCATAGCCTTTGCCCATCCCTTTGCTCCAGCCATCGCCGCCCCAGCCTTTGCCGCCCCAGTTCCACATGGCTGACATGGCTCCTTTTCCACCATCCCAGCCCCAACCTTTGCCGCCCATAGCTGCCATAGCTCCACCCATTGGACCCATACCACCCATGCCACCCATGGGACCCATGCCACCCCATGGTCCCCAACTTGGCTTGGTCCCTGGGTGAGGAGAGTCCAAAGGTTGGCTGCCACCGGTGATGTTGGCAGCCTGTTTGAATATCAGGGTTGGGCAGGTTATGGCTAGTTTATATTTGGACTGCATACACGGGATGCGCAACATAGTTGCAACCTTCAGGGGAATTCGCCAACATTTAATTGCAAAACACATCAATATCAAAACACACCTAGCTTCAACTTTTAATCCCCAAGCCTTCAACTGTCCCGGCTTCGTGTCGCTGTCTACCACATCAAATCTCACTGTGTCTCCGGAAATGGGCTTGCTACCAACGCAGTCCTTGACGTTGAAGAACATCTCTTTGCCGTCCTCCATGTTGATAAAGCCATAGCCCTTTGGCCCAAAGCTCTTCACAGTGCCCGTGTGCGCTCCCGTGCCCTGAACTGGACCAGTGAAGGGCGCGCCCCAAGCTGCAGACTCCGACACGCCGGTGCAACCCTTGACGTTCTTGGCCTGCATCAAAGGGAATCACCAAGCACAAAACAATAAAGGTTGAAATCTCTGTAAAATTGCTAAAGCATGCAAAATCTTAAGTCTCCATCTGCAGACCAGCAGGCCGTTTCAAACCCCGCCTGAAACTGTTCAGGATTTTGCCTTCTAGGCTCGTACTGGAAGGTCAGAACATCGCCAACCTTCGGCACCTTGCCCGGCTCACACTCAGACTGGTGCACAAAGAGAGTGATCCCACCCATGTCGATGAAGCCAAAGCCCTGGCAAGCGGGATTCCAAACAAACTTCAAGATGCCATGGAAACCACGACTGGGTTGTCATGGGTTGCCATGGGGGGTTGCCTTGACAGAAGGCTATGTGGCTACGCTTGGGAGCTAACTTGCATTGTGTCAACAGCCAAGAACGTGTGTCTGTACAGCACAGTACAAGCACTGGGACGCACGTCTTCCAAGTGAAATTGGTGCAAGTGCCTGTGCCCTCTGGCAAGGCTGCCGACATTGCGCTGGAAGGGCCTGTGATTCCTAAACATGTATCTCCAGCCAAAATAGTAACAACTCGAAACAAAAGAAACTTCCAGAATGGTTCAACTCATTTCACACCCAAGGAGAGCAAGAATGAGCTGAACAACATCCTTCAATGACATGACGGGAATGCATTGCAAGGATGAACTCTTGACAAAACCAGGGACAAAGTGGAGGAGGCTGATTTTTTCATCATTTTTCTTTGCACCCGCACTCCAAGAGTCCAGATGCGTGCTTGGACCTTTGCTCCACTTTCAGTAAATTCTACTGGACATTATCTGATAGTATTCTACCAGCTTCGTAGCATTGCCACACTCCACGGTGAGTACAAAAATGGAGATGGATTTACTGCCCATGCTGCGCCAGTACGGAAGCCTAGCACAGGGTCAACGGGTCAACGGCGGCTCGAGGTCCTAATGGCCTACCACTTGCCAAAGCCTTTGCCGTAGGGTCCATTCGCCATCATCATGCCGCCCTTCAATCCGCCCTTCATTGGCGGACCGCCCCAGCCACCACCGAAGCCACCGAAGCCCTTGCCACCATCCCACATGCCTTTGCCACCGCCCCATCCCCAATCGGGGCCCCACATTGGGCCGAACCCACCTGCATGCGGAGCATCCAATGGTTGGCTACCACCTGTGATGTTGATTGCCTGCTTCTGCCCTGGATTTCTGTCACTATCACCAATGTCAAATTTCACGGTGTCACCTGCCACGGGTTTGCTGCCCACGCATTCCTTGACATTGAAGAACATCTCCACACCATCCTGTCAGGAAATGACTAAGGATTGAAAGTCCCACCTGAGAAGAAGGGGAATCCAAACCAGGCCAAAGAGGTGGAGAAGAGGAGGAGGGGAGAATGGAACGAATTTGAAGCGGAAGAGGAAGGAGAAGACCCCCTAACTCACATTTCCCTTGCAACAAGCATCTGCAGCCTAGCCTACCAGCTGGCATTCGTCTAACAGCTGCCGCACCTCCATGGTGATGAAACCATAACCCTTCGTGCCGAAGTTCTTCACCTTCCCGGTGTGAGCTCCAGTGCCCTCAACTGGACCTGACCAGGCTTGAGCCGCGAAGGGATTCTGACGGACATCTGTGCAGCCCTTAACTTCTTTGGCTTGCATCTGCTCAGGGTTGTTTCTCCTGCACAATCTGCGCAGCTGAAGCCTGTGGACTAGTTTCAAGTTGGGCATGAAGAATGACCGGGTTTAACCAAGGTTGAAAAGGGAAACCCCAGCCATGAGCAAACACGTAAAAAGGAGGGTGTCGAAAGATCGGAAAGGAATGATATAGGTGACCCACCCAGTAGGTCTTCATAGCAAGCAGAATTGCTGCAGTACTTCCCAACGCAGGAGAATCATAGAGAGAACTGAAAGGAAACAAGAAAAAGAAAACTAAGTAAACATATGTAAACATGCATGTAGGATCTCCTTGGCTCAAGAGAGAAGGTCAGAACATCGCCGACCTTTGGCTGTTTGCCTTCTTCACACTGCGTGTAGTGCACAAAGACGGTCACTCCACCCATATCGATAAAGCCAAAGCCCTGAGCCACGATACAACATAGGCAGAGTGACATGTGTGACAGGACAGAATGGCAGGATTCAGTTGACACCTGGACATCGCCATCCAACCATCACCCAAGCATCACCCAGTCGCCTTCAAGGCATTGAACGAGGTGCAAGTGCCAGTTCCGGGGGACTGAGATGTTCAAGGTGCAAGTTTTCGCGAAAGACGAATTCTGAACATGTACAGGTATATCATGGTATATGTATATTTAATATTATATAATTGATTTTATGATATTTTACCTGGAGAGGGAACATGCTCAGTGTGCAACAGATTCACCAGCCACAATGGATGACAGGCTGATCATATTGTGGCGCCACTTGCATCCAAGCTGCTTGCGTCATCTTTTCTACACTGCTGGTTGCGTGGCACTCTTGAGCAAAGCTGGATTGCAGAGAAAGAGAGAAAAATCGTGAAAAATCATGAAGTACAAGTTTCCAGACATCAATTTAGACACCTGCTGCCAGGCGAAAAGCATCAACCGGTTGGTATCATGATGATACTTAAGTTTGATTCACCTGTCACTGAATCGGATACAGTACCGATTCATGTCCAATCTCTCTGACCCTGAGCACGCGACTGCCAGCGCCTCCAAATAGCTCCGCAACCTCAGACCAGCCAGAAGCGGCACGAATGCAGGGAGGACAAAGACCCAATGGACATCCAGGACAGCCGTCCAATTCAAATGTTTGATGCGGCCAGTTGCATGATATTTTCTTTGGAGATGCTCCATGACTACAATCTCTACCTGGACTTCTTGCACCGAAATTCCAACGCTGCTATTGGATCTATTGGTCTCTGGCCGAAGATGGCAAGCTCAAACGTCGCCGTTTCCGGTCCTGCTGGTATATCTAGCAGGAACTCTTGAACTAGCTTCGCGGGCTCATGTGAAACATTGTAAAACCCAAAGCAGCAGTAAGTGAGTTTTGAATGTGATGGAATACGTTGCAGCCAATTATTTGTCAAAAACAGGTGCCCTTTGCCTGGGATTCATCGCTGGAGCTGGATTCCAGCGCCATTGCAGGAGGTGACCCAGAGCATGTACTGCAAATTACTGCATTCCCTTCAAATTGTCTGCTGAACTGCACTTTGAATAAACAACTTCTGTGCTCCATCGGCACCATAACTGTCGGTGCCCACGAAAAAGAGAGCACACACTTCTTAAGCCAGACTGCTTTGTTGGTTCACATCTGCTCTCCAATTCATTCAAGGAAGTCAGGAATGCTTTAGTGATGCCACGAGGGTCAGAAAATGTTCAAGCACGTCAATGCAGCAAATGCTTGTCATATCCTACAGTACAATACCTTTTTCCGCAAAGCATAACATAAATCCGTATGAGTGCATCACGAGTTTGCTCGAACCGCTCCGACATATGGAGTAAACACAGTGGTGTATGAGGTAGACAAACAAGAACCGCGACATCGTCACTTCTGCATTGAAGCGTAGTTCCGGCTTCGGCGAAAGACGGACAGGATGAAGATTGCCCTAGCACAACGCACGTTGCTTTCCCATGCCAAAAATAAATGCTATATAAATCATGCTAAACTCGCATTGCTTTTGAAATTTTGGGTTGGTCAGCAAATGTCAGCAGCCTACACCATGTGGCAACATGCGGCAACAACTTTCAACGCCCAGAGTCGTTACCAAAAGAAGGGCAGAGCGCACAGCGTCGCAGAAGAGCTCCAGGTGCTTGCCAGTGGCTACGGAACATGCTGCCAGTGAAAGTCCGGCAACCACTGGAAAGGCCAACTGGGCAGGGAGGAAACAGGATAGGAATAATATAGGAATGGTGTTTCCTCTAGGAGAAAAGAAAACGATTTATCTTGGGTGATACCTGGTGATCTGGTCGAAATGAACCATTCAGCTCCAGAAGCCAAGCGGCTGACTCCTGAAAAGTTTCAACCAATTATATACTTGGAATGGTCTTGGGAAAGTACTGGTATCATGGGAGGGTCTTCATACCACAAACCCATCTGAAGCAACAAAAAAATGCCAAGTCAACCAAGCGCGCTTCTCACAGTAGATGACAGCAGCAAAATCCTGGAACCCTTTGTAGATCTTGCACTACAAATCCTTCCTTTTTCAAACCAGGAATCTATATCATTCACTACTAAGCATACAAGACTTGCAGTCATGTTCATGTACTGCCTGTTTTGATACTCATGTTGACTTGCTTTGTTTGGGATATTTTCGGAGAAAATTGATATCCAAAATGCCACGGAAAAAACATGGTTATGGTCCCAGACAGCACTGATACTGAAACTTATTGCAGATGTTTGCCGCCCAAAGGCCCGCAGCTCAAAGACCAACTGCTTGGCAAGCTCTGGTTGTTGCCTTAGAATGCAGGGTAATTACACACCTGCAAGCTGCATCTATGGATGCAATGTCAAAATCTCATCGGGGTGCTATTCTCCTTCCGACAATAGATGATCTATCTTTATCATTCTTTATCCCTACTATCATGCTGTACCATATTATATGGTACAGCATGATAGGGATAAACATAAATTTAGTACAACACCATCTAACGGGAGTACTGGGAGCACAAAATCTGGCATGCAGCTCAGCCGGCCATGAGTGAAATACTGTCTCCACCAGGATGTTGAGCATGATCACAATGAAGAGTAGCATCTTGCAAACTACTTCAAACAGTTCCATCCACACCAGGCCTTCCAGAAGCAAACATATGAAAACATCCAAACGAATTTCACAGCACCCCCAGGGCATAGTGTTATATATCCGAATGTATCTAACCTACATATAATATACGTGCATGTGTTGCATATGTGCATACATATATGTAACTTGAAAGTAGGTGGCTCAACTCAAAAACCAAAATGCCCATAAAATGGCACCGCGCGGTGAGGAAGAAAACGGCGCTATTTTGGTTGGAACATAAAACGAGTTGCGCCATCTATGTGGTTTGCGTCAAAGATCCAATTGAAGAAAAAATCGCCCCAAAATAGCGCATATTTGATGACCAATTTACTTCAAAATGAAAAGGTAGATGGCGCAACTGCCAGTAATTAATACTACCCCAGTTGGACATAAGGGTATAGTTTACTAAGTTTACTACATGTCGGGTCATTTTTGCTTGTTTTTACCGTGGATTACACGTGTTTGTATTGTATTGCATATATATATATATACATACATACGGGGGTGTCCTAAAGTGAGGGATAATCTTCGCTACTCTGCCACTGCCACTGTACACTGTTGGCTACCAAACATCCCATGCAGTAGATCCCGTTCAAATTCCACTAGATGTTTTATCAAAAAAATGAATTGCGCCATCTATATCTACTGATACATATATATATATATATATGTGTGTGTGTGTGTGTGCGAGTCTACATATGGGGGTGTCCTACAATGAGGGGCAACCTCACATCGAAGGCTGGGGCTCTCCATTACTCTGCCACTGTTGGCTAGCAAAAATCCCAAAAACAAAGTCCACTAATTTTTCCCAGGGATCCAAAAATGAATTACGCCATCAATGGCCCTTAAACCCCCTTCAAATTCAACTATTTTGGATCCAAACATGACTTGTGCCATCTATGTCCATTAAGGTTGGCATTGGCAAACACATTTACAAACAGAACTTTGTCCTGTCCTCATCATCAAGCTCCTTCCTGACTTGCGCAATGGCAAACGCATTTAGAAACAGGCTTTTGTCCTCATCATCAAGCCCTTGCCTGACTTGCGCCATCTATGTGGTTTGGAATTGTTTGTAAACAGGCGCGATTTTGGGGGCATATTTCTTCCTCAGGATGAAAGGAGATGCGCCATCTATGTGGCATATTGTGGTTAGGTCGGTTGAGGGACGTCGGGAGATATGAGGGACTTGCGCCATCTATGTGGGCATTCCCAGCCTGATTTGGGCGAATGAGTGGGACTTGCGCCATCTATGTCCCCGAAAGGCAGCTTGATGTTGAGGAAAAAAAATGGGGGGCAAACCAGCGCAGGAGATTGCAACAAATAGGTCCTTTTTAGGGACGTACATGGCGCGAACTACCTGGTTTGAAAATGGAGTTGCGCCATCCATCCCCTGTATTTTGCCTTTGAGATAGATGGTGCAAGTCAAGAATTTGAGCCATGTACTTTCAGATTAGAGTATGTACATTGACATGCTATACCTGTATATATGTGATAATTTTATATATATCATATACATATGAATATGTATATATATATATTTAAAAACAAAAAACACACACATATATATATATAGTTTAATAATATTTATATAATCTGATACTGTACAGAATGAAGAACAAAGAGGAGCCGGTCTGCAAGGGCCATGCTGGCCTCGACGGACTTCTGGAAGCATGGCAGATGTCCTTGTGCTTATTGTCAGCATTGATAAGAAAGCGATAACTGCCTCAGATTTCTTATCGGTTTTCGCAGGAAAAGCTATATAACGATGATGCAGCTGAAAATGCTGAAAATTGGCACTGCTGTTGTAACAGCAGGCAGCGGGACACTGAGTCACTGAGCTGGTGACGGAAGAAACTCGAGGCATCGCAAAGCCCGGGTTCACGGGAAAGAGGAAGACCTGAAGTCCAATCACAAACATCGAGAATATTCGAGAATTATAGCTGTATGAAGAGCCATCAAATATTGTCAAGTACCATGAAGGCCCCTAGAAAATGTTTAGGCATTTCAAATGTTCTTCTCAAGCAAGTCTCTGTGAAGGACAGCACCACGATCATGATCTCTGGGAAAATAGTGCTACTCATGTAGGGTGATGCATCTCGAAGCACATGCATCACAAATTGGGCCCGGCTTTTTTTCAAAGATCCCACACTCTCCTCGAACACCTTCAGATCGTGAAATAGAAATGTCCAATCAGACTTGTCAAACGAGCTTGCCCCGATGTCGGAGAGGTTGGCAGTGACCATTGGCACGAGTTGCACATCATCTGTCATGTAAGAGGCTGAAGCCAAGAGCACGTGCAGCGCCTGGCATCAACATGATATAACATGATCATCGTCAAGCCCGGGCAGGGAAAATTGAATGAACATGACTAGCAGACTAGCACACACTAGCACTCTGGAGTGCGGGTTCACGCATTGGCGATCACAAATGCATGTGTAGGTAAATACATCTTGGAACTGCAACAATCATGTTAGATATTTTAGGCATTCTCTGGCCATATCTTGAAGGCTCCAACGCAATGAAAAGCTTCTGCGAGGAATACACTTGGAACAGCAGAGAATATGTTGCCAACAAGTGGCACCTAAGAAGTTCAAGGTTGTAAGTCTTGTAAGCTACTCCCAAGTAAAGAGGATCAAACAAAAGTCTCGAGATGTCTCGAGTAATGAGTCCGTTCCCTCAGGAGCCTGCTGATCGTACGGAAACTCCTTGCCATCAAAGTTTTCCTGCACCACCAGGTCCAGGCTAGAAATCATGTAGAAAAAAACTGAACCTGAGTCGGTCGTTGTTGTCACCAACAAGTTCTCATCTCAAGTACCACGACCAGGGTAGGCAACTGTCTCTTTGTGGCTTTCTTGGGAATGTTTAGTTTGATGTTCATTCATGGAGTCCCATCCCTCCCCCGCCTTGATCTTCACCAGAAGCCGTTGAGTTTTGTTGACCATGCCATCCACAGATATATGGAAACTGGTAGATATGACACTTCTGCCTTGAAGTTCGGTGTTTGTCACGATGACATCCTGAGGCACCGAGGGTCGACGGATGTCCAAAGTGGAAACATCCGACTTCGAACCACACAACGAATCGCAAAGCCAGCGTTAGATGTGCTAGTAGTTTTCAACATCTTCCATCATATTTTTCCACATGCCAAGCCACTGGGGTCCACATCAAGTCCTTCGCCTGTCCTTCGGAGAGGGTCCTCCCAATTTGGTCCTGAAAGCAACTCACACGTACATCAATGGACAAGGCCTTGACCGTAATGTATTGTAATTTGTTTGGCTCTCACAATCAAGAAACACAAACTCTATGGCATGCATATAAACATGTACCGTGCAACCGTGACGTTGCGCCGCGCCGGAATTGCGGAAGGGCTGCGTATGTTTGAAATGCCATGCCGGTGGACTTTCAATAAGTAGATGTATATGTGATCCATCATCATCATCATCATCATCATCATCCCTTATGAAGATAAGTTGATGCTATTATCAGATTCAGCATATTTGCCACAGGGTGTGGAGGATTTTTGATCCCTTGTGAAGATATGTTGATGCTATTATCAGAGTAGGCATAGTTGTCAAAGGGGGTGGTGGATTTGTTGATCCCTTATGAAGATAAGTTGATGTTATTCCTTATTCAACATATTTGTCAGAGGGGGTAGTGGGTTTGATGATCCCTTATGAATATAAGTTGATGTGATTACCCCATCTAACATGTTTGTCGGAGGGGGTGGTGGATTTTTGGCCCCTTACGAAGATGAGTTGGTGTGATTACCCCATACAATGCATTTGTCAGAGGGGGTGGTGGATGTTGGATCCCTTTTGGAGATAAGTTGATGTGATTACACCATTCAACATATTTGTCATAGAGGGTGTTGGATATTTGATCCGTTATGAACAAAAGACATATAAGTTGATGGTATTTCCCCATTCCACATGAGTTGACACTGGTGATCATGATGATCATGATAATGATGACAAGACCATGGTGATGATGGTGATGATCATGCACCTTGCTCACAACTATATACACAGCGATTGGATTAGTGATAAACATGTGCACTGAAATGTTGTAGCGGATGTGTGTTTGACGGCGTTTTCGCTGTTGCGTTGCTGAACTCCTACGGGAAACGTTCTCAGCATGAAATCACACAATTTGGCAATATCACTATTTTGGAGCCTGGATTGATACGGCAAAGCGCTCCTTCGGCACGAGGCCGGAAACCCGAGGATCATACCACTGAAGCATCACCACAATGTCAGCCTCCCACTGTTCATTGTGCAAATCCTTAGTTGTGTGGTTACAAAACAAATTTGGGTGCCCTTCTTGGCCTCACAACCAACCATACACGTGGGAAAAGTAACGTTGATTTAAGATGATGTGTACCAGTAGTGCCGCACAAGGCGGTGGCGGAAGTTTCAAAAATAGGAAACCTATAGGAGAGATTGGTTGCTGTGAATCCCGGATGGCAGAGCGAATCCACTGATGGACCGACAGGTGGTTGGAATTGTGTTTTTTGGAGTGGTTGCAATGGTTGCAGCGGTCACCTTACCACAACTGCTGGATGTAGCGTGGTGTAGCGCAGCTGTAGTTGTAGTTGCAGTTGTAGCTGTAATGTAGTGTAGCGTAATGTAGCGGAGCTGTAGCTGTAATGTCGTGTCATTAGCGCATTTGCAAGCGCAGTTGCTGTTGTACTCGTGGTGTGGTGTAATTGGTGTAGTGTATGTAGTGTATATAGTGTATAGTGTATAGTGTACAGTGTACAGTGTACAGTGTACAGTGTGTAGTGTGTAGTGTGTAGTGTGTAGTGTGTAGTGTGTAGTGTGTAGTGCGTAGTGTGGAGTGTGCAGTGTCGTGTGCAGTGCGTAGTGTGCAGTGTGTAGTGTGCAGTGCGTAGTGTCGTGCGTAGTGTCGTGTGTAGTGTCGTGTGTAGTGTCGTGTGTAGTGTCGTGTGTAGTGTCGTGTGTAGTGTCGTGTGTAGTGTCGTGTGTAGTGTGTAGTGTAGTGTGTAGTGTAGTGTCGTGTGTAGTGCGCAGTGTAGTGTGCAGTGTAGTGTGCAGTGTCGTGTGTAGTGTCGTGTGTAGTGTGTAGTGTAGTGTGTAGTGTAGTGCGTACTGTAGTGTGCAGTGTCTCTGTAGTGTAGTGTGTAGTGTGTAGTGTGCAGTGTGCAGGGTGCAGTGTGCAGTGTGCAGTGTGCAGCGTGCAGCGTGCAGCGTGTAGCGTGTAGCGTGTAGCGTGTAGCGTGTAGCGTGTAGCGTGTAGCGTGTAGCGTGTAGCGTGTAGCGTGTAGCGCGCAGCGTGTAGCGCGCAGCGCGCAGCGTGTAGCGTGTAGCGTGTAGCGTGTAGCGTGTAGCGTGTAGCGTGTAGCGTGGCGTAGTGTGTAGCGTATAGCGTATAGTGTATAGTGTATAGTGTATATTGTAGTGTGTAGAGTGTAGAGTGTAGCGTGCAGCGTGTAGAGTGTAGTGTGTAGTGTGTAGTGTTGTGTAGTGTTGTGTAGTGTAGTGTAGTGTATTGTATTGTAGTGTAGTGTTGTGTAGTGTTGTGTAGTGTAGTGTTGTGTTGTGTGTGTTGTGTGTGTTGTGTTGTGTAGTGTTGTGTAGTGTTGTGTAGTGTGTAGTGTGTAGTGTGTAGTGTGCAGTGTGCAGTGTGCAATGTGGTGTAGTGTGGTGTAGTGTGGTGTAGTGTGGTGTAGTGTCGTGTAGTGTGGTGTAGTGTGGTCTAGTGTGGTGTAGTGTGGTGTAGTGTGGTGTAGTGTGGTGTAGTGTGGTGTAGTGTGGTGTGTGGTCTAGTGTGGTCTAGTGTGGTCTAGTGTGGTCTAGTGTGGTGTAGTGTGGTGTAGTGTGGTGTAGTGTGGTGTAGTGTGGTGTAGTGTGGTGTAGTGTAGGGTAGTGTGGTGTAGTGCAATGTAGTGTAGTGTAGTGTAATGTAGTGGTAGTTGCAGTTGTAGTTGCAGCTGCAGTTGTAGTTGTAGTGTAATGCAATGTAATCAGTGTAGTGTAGCGCTGTGTAATGTAGTGTGGTTGTAGTTTTTTTTGTAGCTGTAGCGTGCCGCACGTGTAATTAGTGTAGTGTAGCGCAGTTGTAATTGTAGTTGTAGCTGTGGTAGTAGTAGTTGTTGTTGTTGTTGTAACTGTTGTAGTTGTTAGTGTAATTGGTGTGGTGTAGCGTAATTAGATGTAATTAGCGTAGTGTAGTGTAATTAGCGTAGTGTAATGTAGCGTGGTATATTTGCAGTTGTAGCAGTAGCGTAGTGTAGTGGTAGCTGTAGTTGTTGTTGTAATTGTCTATCTATCTATCTACCTATCTATCTATCTATCTATCTATCTGTCTGTCTGTCTGTCTGTCTGTCTGTCTATCTGCAAGCTTGAAAACGAAGCTATTCTGCGTGAGACTTCGTCAGTTTTTGAACTTGACAACATCAAAAACGCAGCAATTCAGCGAGACTTCCTCAATTTTTGAACTTGACAACGTCAAAAACGAAGCAATTCTGCGAGACTTCCTCATTTTCTTACGTTGACAACATCAAAAACGCAGCAATTCAGCGAGACATCCTCAATTTTTGAACTTGACAACGTCAAAAACGAAGCAATTCTGCGAGACTTCCTAATTTTCTTAAGTTGACAACATCAAAAACGAAGCAATTCTGCGAGACGTCCTTCAAAAATGGAAAGTTGAGTGCAGAGCTGACGGCCTCGTACCAATGCGTTTTGCAATTCTTCCACTCCATCTGTCTAAACTAGTGCGCCTGCCACGAAAAAATTATGATGCCAGGTCATACGAAGTGCTGCACCTGTCACGCAAAATCATCTCAGCAAACCTGAAGATCTGATGCTCCAAAATGCAACCCCTCTCAGGAAATCAGCGCCCGGAACTCCTAACAGCTCTGATGAACATGTCTCGCCTGCCACGGAAAATGCATCTTTGCAGATCCTCTTCAAATGTCGGAAATGCTACAAAACCCTCACGTTTTGCTCACTTTTGACAAGGTGCACAATCCTTTGCGCCTGCCACGCGAAACAACGTCTGAACGTCCAAAAGTGCTCCGTACCCCTCAGTTTTTTGCACTCTTGACTTGGAAATCTGCTTCGTGCCACAACGGCGTGCACTTTTTCGACATCTCAACTTCCAAAAGTAGTCCGAAGCTGGTGTGCTTTGTACAATTTGGTCATTTTGACTTCGAAGCGTGCTTCGCGCCACAACGGCGTGCACTTTTTCGACATCTTTTCCAAAACTGGTCCGAACATGGTGTGCTTTGTGCATTTTGACTTCGAAATGTGCTTCGCGCCACAACGGCGTGCACTTTTTCGACAGCGCAACTCTTAGAAGCGCTCCGAAGCTGAGGTGCTTTGTACATGTTGACTTGGAAATGTGCTTCGCGCCACAACGGCGTGCAATTTTTCATCTCTCATCTGGCCAGCTGGCTGGCTCCGCACCCGCCGCTTTAGCGAGCCTACTTTCGACCCTCCAGAGCCACAAATCATTGGAAAAACAGAGTGCTTCGCGACTTTCCTACCTTTTCTCGCACCTGGATCTTCTTTCTTCTGAGACTTTCTCTTTCTTCTTTTCTTCTCTTCGCTGACTCTTCCCATCTCTGCTTTTCATCTGTCCATATTGTCGGAAGTTTGACTTCTAAACTTCCTTCGAATATGAAACTAATTATTTAAGATATTTAAGTTGGAGTTGGAGTATTGTCGGACCACCCGGCGCTAATTATATAATTTTGATTCTTGGTGTCTGTTGCCACGCGCGCCCACTAACCACGATTGCCTGTCTGGCCCACCCACTCTTACCGAGACACAGCGCCGTAGAAATCCTTCAGCAGGACGCCTATGTGGATCAAATCCTGGATTGCCCACGTGCAGTCCCCAAAAACAAAGAAACATAAACTCGATCGTTGATTGCCGTTTCGCTGTGACACGGAACCATTCGAGATCTGAATGTGCATTTTCTGACCCTATATTTTCAACCTCCAACGTTGCTAATTTGTTGTTCGTAACTTCTTGCAAAACCAGCGGCTGGGGGCCCACCAGCTTGTGGCCGGTCAACATTTGGAAGCGCTTCACTCGCAGAAGATTCGAAGTTGATTACTGGCACACGCGTGGCAGCATGTGTTGCGTGTTGTAAAAGTTCTGGCGACGTTGCTCTGCTGCCAGATTCACATGTCCTAAGGTGCACCAAAGCATGTGAGCACGGTGGGATGTGAATGACAGCTTTCAGGCCCTTGCAAAGTGAAGGCAACACCTAAGATGCACAGGTACTTCGCGCCATGAAAGTGCTTCTATACATGCCTGGGGCGCGCCAAGCGTGAACCCTGAAGCGTCTAACAAGAATTCCTGCGTCAAGTGTTTGGTGGTGGACCAAACGCGCAAACTCAAGTGCAAACAAAATTCGGCTCTGGTCTTCCAAGCGCGGGCCCAAACAGCAAAAGCAAGCACGCAACTTGACAAACAATGTGTAAAGTCATGCGGCTCCATCCATGTGTAAGGTGCAACGCAGTTTCGTCTGCTTTGCTTGAGCCAAATGAAAAAATACCGCGCAAAGCAAAAGTTTTGTGCTGCCTGTGAGTTTCATTCCCGTGCCCGGGCCCCCTTGTCTCGAACATCATTGTGCGGGGCAGGCACCCCACTTGGTTCCAAGCCCCCTTTCCCAATCGCACCACAAAGTCATAATGCCTTTTTTACACACAACCTTCTCACATTCAGGTGCCATCTGCTTCATCTTGGCTCAGCCTGGCCCACATGCCTACACATGGGCCAGCCTCATCAATCAAATGCGCCAGGGCTGGCTTAAAAAAACCTTCTTTGGCTTTGAAATCACCCATGGCTGGTCTAAGCAACAAAATGTGCAACCATTGGCATGTGTCTGCTTAGCTCCACTTCACATTTAAGCCACGGATTGTCGCTGCCATGTGCCTATCTGAAAGGAAGCTGCTTGAAGATGGCAAGCAAGCCACCAATCAAATGGCACACCGACAGAATTGGAAGCCTTTTAATGCATTCAACTTATTGGAAACTGTGAGTCAAACAGCAGGGGCCTAGCCCATCCTAGGCCCACAACACAAAGATCAAGCCATGAAAAAAATGTGATGAAGTGATATCAGTGATGACTCTCAGGTGCCCCTGCATCCACTTGACCCACTAGACAATTTAAACCAACTGGAAGCCATCCAAGTCCGAGGAAGAAATCTGGTTTTGGAGCGTCTGCTCCACTTCTGGTCCAGCTTTCAAAGGATGGACCAACACATATCGCGGCCACATGCCTGACCAGGGGAATCCTTCAAAAACGATGGGTGCTGGGGACATGGTAACATGCTAGAATATGATAGAATATTCGGGTCTAGTGAGACCTTCATGGCGTTTCTGACCTCTGCCTGGCATCTTGGCGGCTTCCATCATGTTTTCGATAGAAAGGATGGAATGTCCAATTCCATCCAATTCCCAATGCCTGGCCAAGGGAAAGTCTGCACCCCGTCCAGCTTCGCCAAGCAATTCTTCAGAGCGACCTGTCATGTCATTCCAAATATGTCCCAATCATTCTGCCGCATACCATCCTGATCCATCCTGTCATGTCATGCCATACCTGGTCCACATGGATGCTGAGGGGCACCCAATAGCAGTGCTCCTTCAGGAGGCGCTCCACAGATTGTTCAATTGCCTCGCGGGCAAAAACACAGCACTGGGCCGGGCCTAAGAGAAAAGCACATATTTACTCTGTGACCTTCTGGTGACAGGAGCTCGACACTTTAATTTGTAACCCACCTAACCTACCCTCGGACGCTTCCAAACGCCCAAAACACGAATCCGACAACCCACCATTAACCAAACGACTTCTCGACTTGCCTCTTTTGCCCGGCTGGTGTCACGTGTGCGGCCCCACAGCTTTGCTTCCAGCAGTGGTCCAATGATGGAATTGGGAAAGACCACTTCCTGAGTTCCAAGGTTTCAATCAACAGCGGCAAACACAGCAGAAAAGCACCAAGCGAAAACCATGCATTGTGCATCTGCCCTCGCTATATCTCTTCACCTCTTCCATACCATGCAATCAATGCAATCTGTGTAGCAATCCATGATTCTATGATGATCTATGCCAAGGCTCAGCCAGGCCATACTTGGCGCGGACAGTCTTCAGTGTCTCGGCTGTTAACGTCCAGAGGAACGCCTCTGAGACACCGGGAAACTGCACCACCGCCTTTGGAGGGATGAAGTCGTACTCCGAGACGGGGCGCAGCTTCATTTTGCGGCACAGACGGTTGCACACGTGTGTCCCAAAGAACTTCCTGACACCGTCTTCTTTGAGGTCACCATCACCGAAGGACTCGTAGTTCCCATACCGGCAGTGCACCTGCGCTTGTGGGGCCCCTCTCGTAAATAGACCAAGTATCCCATGCCGGAAGCCACCAAGACAAGAAAATGCGGAAAAATGATGCATGTTTTCAAAGTCGGGTGATGTTATAATACATACATACTATATATATAATTAATCAATTAATTATATAATATATATATATATGTGAATACATCATAATATATCTGTGCGCGTGTCTTTATTAGGACAACTGATGCCCGTCTCCGGCCTGTGGATCTGTCAAGTGCAACTTGATTCCTCCAGTCTTCTCGTCAACTGCCGGCACCCCTTGGATGTCCACGACCAGCAGCTCCCGGTGGCTTTCATCGAATGTGAAATGCGAAAACGCTTGTGCAATCTCGCCTCAGATTTTGCAACCGACGCCCTCGTCAACTCGTTTAAAACTTAGCATCTTGTATCTTGCAACTTGGCGCATGGGGTTCAGCATCCTGTTGTGCAAGAAAGGCACAATGAGCACGATGCTCCGCTTTGTTGACGCTGCCCCCGTTATTGTTGAACTTTACGAAGTCTCCCTTCATGTGCAACTCGCCAATGAACACTTGGGTGCTCCCGGGCTCATCTTGCAGTTGGTACAAATAGTCCTCTAAGCTTAGGGGTCGCACGGAACAAACCTGTAAACACTGCACTGATCAACACTTTAACTTAACTAGTGCCATAAACCAGCTTGGTAGTCATGCAGTAATACAGGTTGATCCTTTGCAGAATCAATCAAAAATAACCAAGTGGTCATGTGAAGCATAAACCCTCAAGCGTTGCAAACAGCAATCCGGGATCTGCTCCAGCCATGCCAAAACTATTGCTCTCGGTACTCCTGGCGAAAGCCAAGACATTCACCTCAGCGCACTTGGGGATGATAAGATATGAATCTGCCCTGCCTGACTGATTGAAGATGGGCGCTCGGCCACGCCAACGTCAAATGAGTCAAAATCTTCATGTTTTCCGTCGGCTTTCAAAAATTCCAGCGCAAAATGGCTTTCACCATTCACATCACAGTGCATCAAAGGCATTCAAAGGCAACATTGCACGGGCCCATCCCAATAACAATCCGTGACCAAGTTGCCGCTCCTCTGGCGGAAGCATTTGGCATAGTGCCGAGCGACTGCACTATTGCGGCAGAACGGCTCCATGTCACCCTTGCACGTGTGCAGCAAAGTAATCCAATCATGCAAGCCATGCGCAATGCAGCATGGAAAGGCATGAAACAACAAGAGGAAACCAGTGAACTTGAGAGATCATCATTCAGCCTTCAAATTCAGGTTCATACTGTAAACTTGCCATCACTTGCCCTTCTGTCCATGGATTTTGGCAGCAGGCGTTGGGCCCAATGTTAGCCAAAAAAGAAACCACCAACCATTGGAACTGATATGAACTTATATAATCCCGTATCTTCACAAATGCCCCCCAACAACAACAACAACGACGACAACAACAACAACGACAACAACAACAACGACAACAACAACAACAACAACAACAACAACAAATACAAATGTATCCAAATGTCCATACCCAGATATACCGAGCGCCTTCGTGCACGCCTGGATCTCCAGGGATGCATTGGGAGTCCCTCATCACAAACAACGCTTCATCTCAAAAGTGGAACATGTGAATGATGTGGCGAAACCATGCAAAACTAAGAAAAAACATGTTGAAACGTGTTGAAGTATGTTGAAACAATCCCCATGATTATGTGCTAAAAATGAGGGGGGGTTCCCCATACATTATGGCTTTGTGTGGGTCATCATTTTCGAATGGTTTGCCATTTGCCTAAACTCCAAAATCATACAAAACCTTCTAATTTCAACCAATACCTAGGAGACAAGAAAGGTGGATAAGAGAAAGACAAATAGACACAAAAATAGATGGATATTTTTGGGTACTATAAAATGGTCATGGTCCTAGAATATTCATGAGTCCATAAAGTTCATGAAGAAAACAAAACCACAAAATCCACCAAGATCATGCCATTTGGCTCACAAGTTCCAGCACTAAGCAGCGCCAAATCATAGAAATAACAATATATTCCATCATTGCTTTGCATTGTACTACATACTACTACATATTACAGGTTACATGTTACAGCTTACACATTACATTGCTTTATTCAGGTGTGACGGAGCTACTTGTTTAGCTAGCTCCGCCCTCGTGACTCTAGCAGGCGCCACATTAGCCGCCTCAGATTTTGATCCTTGAGGCACGGTATAGTTGCCATGTATGAGGTCTTTGAACTTGTGCAGAGATTTCGGCATCGGCGCAGTCTCTGTATTTGTGATCTCTTCTTCTTTGATCTTCCTGGTTTTGGTCGCGAAGGCGCACGCGTATACGCACACAAACATGTACAGAAGGTCTGCGCACGCACTACCGTACCTGCGCCAAAATTATTCAGAGCCACCAACCATATGAAAATGGAACCATTTCTGGGGCGCCTTCCCTATCATTCTCTCTACCGTCCTCCTATGGACCCTGCGTCGAAGACCTACACGCAAAGAGAGACAGATCCATTTCTGGAGTCTACAGACAGGGCGCGCGCCTGTCCATCAGCGTCCTTATATATACTGTCATAGAGAAAGGGAGGGGGAGGGAGGGATTTAGGGAGGGAGGGAGGGAGAGAGAGAGCGAGAGAGAGAGAGAGAGACAGAGAACGAAAGAAAGAAAGAAAGAAAGAAAGGAAGGAAGAAAGAAAGAAAGAAGGAAGGAAAGAAAGAAAGAGAGAAAGAGAGAAAGAGAGAAAGAGAGAAAGAGAGAAAGAGAGACAGAGAGAAAGAGAGAAAGAGAGAAAGAGAAAGAAGTAGAGTGGTGGAGAGGAGCGGCAACGTCCCTATATACCATCTGGAGAGAAAGAGAGAGGGTGGTAGAGAATGTCCCTGGCTCTGGAAATAGGTCTGTTTTTCATTGCGCACCAGGAGGGCGCCGGGCGCGCACCTCACACAACACAGAGGCGCGCCCCCAGCGCGCGCCGGACACTAGGCGTGCGCCAGGTGCACGCCCGTCCATATATTTATTTATTTATGTATTTATTTATTTATTTATTTATTTATTTATATTATATATTATATATTATATAAATTATATATATTATATATTAAATATATCAGTGACGGACAATATGATTTGTTCACCGTAATTGCCACGAGAAAAATTGGGTCGTCCCCTATCGGTTGTGAAGATTTTCGCTCTTTAATAGCGTTCAGCAGCAAATGCTTCTACTAGTACTAGAACTAGTACTAATACTAGTACTAGTACTCGTCATCGTCATCGTAGAAGTACTAGTAGTACAAGAAGCAGAAGCAGAAGCAGAAGCAGAAGCAGTAGCAGGAGCAGCGGAAGCAGCAGGAGTAGTAGGAGTAGGAGCAGGGGTAGGAGTAGGGGTGAGATAGGAATAGGATAGGGGTAGGAGTAGGAGTAATAGTAGGAATGGTGGTGGTAGTAGTAGTAGTAGTAGCAGTAGTAGCAGTAGTAGCAGTAGCAGCAGTAGCAGTAGCAGTAGTAGTAGCAGTAGTAGTAGTATGAGTAGGGGCAGCAGTAGCAGCAACAGCAGCAACAGCAGCAACAGCAGCAACAGCAGCAACAGCAGCAGCAGCAGCAGGAGTATGAGTATGAGTAAGGGTAAGAGTAAGAGTAAGAGTAAGAGTAAAAGCAGTACGTGGGGCATGGTCTTGGCAAGTGAGAAAAATTGCAGGATTGGGTATCGGTTAGTATCGGTTGGGGTATCAGTGGGAATGGTGCATGAATTGCCGCAAACAATATTCTTGGTGCTCTTTAAGAGGAAAGCTAGCTGAGGTAGCTGTTTACAGCCTTGTTTGCAGTCGTTTCTGTAGAAATACACACTCTGCTGCAGATTATTGTGGGAACTTGTTGGGATCTAGGGGTATCGGTGCTGGGTCGTCCCCTATCGGTTGTGAAGGTTTCGTGAAGGTAAGCAAAGTTCAAGGCAGCTCTTTACTACTTTAGTATTCCAATAATTTTGTCGGATGCTCAATATATATATATATATATTATTTATTTATTAAATATATATAATATAATATACCGTCTAGAAAGACGCAGCAAAAGAGAGACGGCGGTAGAGAGTCTCTCTGACTCTAGGAAAGAAAGTTGTTTTTCATTGCATGCCAGCCCCGTGCGCCTCACACAGAGCGAGCACGCGCCGGGCGCGCGCCCGTCCATCAACGTCCATATATACATCTAGAAACAAACAGAGAAAGAGAGAGAGAGTGAGAGAGAGGGTGGTAGAGAGTGTCACACAGATAGAAAGGCTGGTAGAAAGTGTCTCTGGCCCTACAAATAGGCGTGGGTTTCATTGTATGCCGGGCGCGTGCCGGGCGCGCACCTCACACCAGACGCGCGCCGGGCGTGCCTCCAACAACACAGAGGCGCGCGCCCCGCGCGCGCCTGACAGTAGGCGCGCGCCCGTCCATCAACGTCTAGAAAGAAAGAAAAAGATTTTGGCAGACTAGAGACAAAGAGAGAAAGAAAAAGATTGGTAGAGAGCGTGTCTGGCTCAAGAAATAAATCTGTTTGCATTGCATCGCAGGCGCCCCGGGAACGCGCCTCACACAACACAGACGCGCGCGCCCAGCACGCGTGCGCCGGTCCATCAACTTCCATATAAATAAATCTCTAAAGAGAAAGAGAGAAGGAAGGAATGTGCAAATAAGTCTGTCTTTCATTGCGCGCCACAACACAAAGGCGCGCGCCCAGCGCGCGCCCAGCGCGCACCTAGTGTGTCAGGCGCGCCCGTCCATCAATGTCTATATATACCATCTAAACGGAAGAGAGAGGGCGGTAGAGAGTGTCTCTAGCTCTAGAAATAATAGGCGCGCAGAGGCGCGCAAAGGCGCACAAAGGCGTGCAAAGGCGCGCAGAGGCGCGCAGAGGCGCGCAGAGGCGCGCAGAGGCGCGCAAAGGCGAGCAGAGGCGCGCAGAGGCGCGCAGAGGCGCGCAGAGGCGCGCAAAGGCGCGCAAAAGCGCACAAAGGCGAGCAGAGGCGCGCAGAGGCGCGCAGAGGCGCGCAGAGGCGCGCAAAGGCGAGCAGAGGCGCGCAGAGGCGCGCAGAGGCGCGCAGAGGCGCGCAAAGGCGCACAAAGGCGCACAAAGGCGAGCAGAGGCGCGCAGAGGCACGCAGAGGCGCTCAAAGGCGCCCAAAGGCGCACAAAGGCGAGCAGAGGCGCGCAGAGGCGCGCGGAGGCACGCAGAGGCGCGCAAAGGCGCGCAAAGGCGCGCAAAGGCGCGCAAAGGCGAGCAAAGGCGCGCAGAGGCGCGCAGAGGCGCGCAGAGGCGCACAAAGGCGCGCAGAGGCGCGCAGAGGCGCGCAAAGGCGCGCAAAGGCGCACAAAGGCGAGCAGAGGCGCGCAGAGTCGCGCAGAGGCGCGCAGAGATGCGCAAAGGCGCGCAAAGGCTTGATTTATATCTTGACAATATATGTCATCATTATGACTAGAATATTTTAATGCCGGAAAATCAGCTTTACCATTGGTAGCAGAATGTTTCGGCTCCCGCAAGCACATGCCAGCACCAAACTTTATATTTATGTTTAAGACATATATCATGTTTCTTTTGACAATGAACATCGACGAGCCACAACAAGTCAAAAGCAAACACCGGCTTCAACCTGAGCTGCACCGTGTCTTCGTTCCATCACTTTTCTTATTTGTTGACATGTCACTTGACAATGAAAAAAATTGCAGCCTGCAATAGCCTGCACCCAATTGCTTTCATTTCTAGCCTCTGCTGTCAGGCGCGCAGAGAGGCGCGCAGAATCACGCAGAGGCGCACAGAGGCGCGCAAAGGCGCGCAGAGGCGCAAGGAGGTTAAGGCGCGCAGAGGCGCGCAGAGGCGCGCAGAGTCACACAGAGGCGCGAGGCGCGCAAAGGCGCGCAAAGGCGCGCAAAGGCGCGCAGAGGTGCGCAGAGGCGTGCAAAGGCCCGCAGAGGCTTGATATACATTGATATATCTTGATATGCTGATTGTGATTACAAAATGTTAATGCCGGATGATCAGCTATGCCATTGGTTGCAGTATGTTGCGGCTACAGCAAGCACATGCCAGCACCAAACTCTGTAATTATGTTTAAGACATTTCAGGAGTTTTTTACCAATGAACATCGACGAACCGCAACAAATCAAAA